GAGGGAGGGAGGGAGGGAGGGAAGACGGGAAGACACACTGTATCGCAGGGCACTGTGAAAGTCAGTTCAGAGGACAACTTTCAGTTACCAGTTACCGTCTTCCATTTGAGGAACTGGAAATTGAACTGAGGTCATCAGGTTACCTGTTGAGCCATCTCGCCATCTCCCCAGCCCTCCTTGTGTTTGGAGACAGGGCTCCTCATTGAACCTGGAGTTCACCAATTTGACTAAATGGGCTAGTGAGGGATAACCAGGCTCTGCCTCCTCCTGAGTTATATCAGTAATGCTAATAGTTCTGAGAGTTTTATAATTTATGTACTATCTTTGTATATTTGGCAAATACACCCTGACTTCCTTGATTTTGCCTCAGATTAACTACCCCCCCCCCCCTTTTTGTGAGACTTGGTCTAAAAATTATAGCCCTGACTGACTTGGAATTTGATATGTAGACTGAGCTATCTTGGAATAGATCTGCCTGCTTCTGCTTCCCTAGTGATGAAATAAAGGCATGTGCCTCCATATTTAAATTTAGATCAATGTGCTTAATAGAAACCAATATCGTTTTCTGTAGTTAAAGATAATAACAGTAAGCATAATGGGCCAGAACAATTTTACTGAATTTTAAATATGAAAATTATAACAAAATACAAATAAATACAGAAGTGGTCTGCTATCCCCCTCTTTAACTGGAGTCCTGGAGTATGCTCCGCATTCGGGACACCATACCAATTTGAGGTCTTTTAAAATAGATAGGTATGAATGCACGTTGACATCCTCCAGCAGTCAAAGTTTGTTTTCTTTGGTCTTCTTGAGCACGGATACATTCACAGGTATACACGTGACTCCCTATGCTCTCCAGTACATATGTGAGCTTAAAAAAAAAAAGATTATGTGTATGAGTGTTTTGCCTGCATGTGTATGTGTGTTCCATGCATGCAGTACCTGTGGAGACCAGAAGAAGGCATTGGATGCCCTGGAACTGGAGTTACAGATGGTGATAAGCCACCATGTGGGTGCTGGGAACTGAACTCAAGTCCTCTGTAAGAACAGCCAGTGCTCTTTAACTATTGAACAATCTCTTCAGCCCCTTATGGGAGCTTTTTAAAGACATTTACTTCCCTATGTATATGCTCTTCCCAGCCTTTTTCTTTCCCGGTCTTTTTGGTTTGACAGCTACTTGACCCAGGCTGTTTCAGCTAATATATTTGTTTTAGTCCTAAGAAGGTTCTAAGTCTGGCAGAGTAAAAGCAAGCATCTGAGCCCATCTCTTGGGGAGCTCCCACACAGGCCATGACATAATCACATGTATTTGCAAATAGGGTCCATATTAGTTGCCTTTGGAGTAGCAATCTATAACCATGAACACTGGCCACCCCAAGCCATTGTCTATCTCTGCAAAATTTAGCAACTGGCTTGGGGAGTTGGCCTAGTGAGTAAAACTACTTGCCATACAAGCACGAACACCTGAGTTCAGATCCCCAGAACTCACATAAAGCTGGGTGTGGTAGCACATGGCTTTACAGCCTGAGCTCTTAGATAGATTGGAGGTGGAGACAGGAGAATTCTTGGAAGCTCATGGGTCAGCTACCCTGCCGTGCCCTTTCTCAAACGTGATAGAAGGGGAGGACTGACACACCTGAGGCTGTCCTCTAATCTCCACAAGTGTACTATGGTATGCAAATCCAACCACTCATCTACACTAAAATTAAAAAGTAAATAATTCAAGGGCTGGAGAGATGGCTCAGCAGTTAAGAACACTGTCTGTTCTTGCAGAAGACCTGGGTTCGAATCCCAGCACCCACATGGCAGCTAACAACTGTCCATAACTCCAGTTCCAGGGGATCTGACAGCCTGTCCTCCCTGGGCATTGCATGACATGGATGCACTTACCTACATGCAGGCAATACATGCATACACATAAAATAAAAATAATATTTTTTTTCTTAAAAAGATCCCTTTCTTTTTTTTTTTTTTTTTTTGGTCTTTTTGAGTCAGGGTCTCCCTGTAGCCCCAGCTGTCCCAGAACTCATTATGTAGACCAGGCTGGCCTTGAACTCACAGAGATCCACCTGCCTCTGCCACCTAAGTGCTGGGATGAAAGGCGTGCACCACAACGCCCGGCCTAAGAGCACGTATTTTTTTTTTTTAAAGTAAATAATTCAGCAGCTTATTTCATTAAGCATTCTCCCAATTTTAAAGGTTTATTATATGCTAGACTTCTAAAAATGCTTTTGCTAGTTTTTTGACAGCTTAGTCAATGCTATAGTAAAAAGAGTTTGGGAGTTCCCTTATTTGTCATGTACAGTGATAACCTTTCACCTGCCCCTGGAATCTCTCACTGAGGACAAATGAAAAATGTAGTCACATCAATGTGTCAGAAGTGGATATTGGAAATTTTAAGCTACTGGTGGCAGTATAATGCCAGTTACTTTCTAAGAAAAACTAACATCAAAACACCAATACCGGGGCTGGAGAGATGGCTCAGCGGTTAAGAGCACTGACTGCTCTTCCAGAGGACCCAGGTTCGATTCCCAGCACCCACATGGCGGCTACGAACCATCCTTAACTCCAGTTCCAGGGGACTCCGAAGCCCTCTTCTGACCTCCACAGCATTGCACAACATGGGTGCACTCACATATGTGCAGGCAATACACTCATAAAACTAAAAATAGTAAATAAAAAATAGTTTTAAAAAAAAACAATTCCATAGATTATTTTGAAATTTTAAAATATTTCATATCTATTTATTTTTTTGCTCTTAGCTTGTGTTTTTTGCCGAAAAAATGATGACTGTCCCAATAAATATGGAGAAATGAAAACTAATCAGAAATGGAATCTCAGCGTACATTACTATTGTTTGGTAAGTATGATCTGTGGTTCTAGAATGTGTTCTAAAGAGAAATTAGATAGTACTAATTTTAAGAATTAGATAAATCATTTAACTTAGGAATTTTTTCGTCTTTATGGGAAATTTTTTTTTTAATGTCAAACTTTCTGAGTTTCTGAAAGTATTTGGTGTGCATATAAAGACTTGCTATCATTACCTGGGTATCTAAGTTTTAAAATGGAGAAAACAGGTTTCTAAGGGGAAAACCCTTTTTACCACTTTCTTGTTTCCTTCGTTGCTAGTGATATGTCACAGAAAAGACTTGTTTGAAGGTTCAGGGAGTAGAAGAAAAGTATTTTATTTCACAGAGCACCTGGAAGGCAAAGTTCTGGCAGAAGGTATTAATATTAGTAGAGAAGGAAACAGGTTGATGTGTGAGTCACTCACACATAGGACTCAATAGCGTCCTTCTGAGATTGCATCCTCGTTTGTCTCTCTTCCCTCCGCCAACTTCTCACTGACTCTGAAATGAAGTGGTTTACTAGCATATTATAATCACCTTAGCATACTGAGTTTGCTTTAGCTCACACTTTATTTTGATACCAAGTTAGTTTTCCGTGGCCACTTTAGAAATTATCCCGAAATGTAACAGAGTAGAGCAATATTTATTGTCTGAATCGTTCTGGCTCAGTCCTTAATACAATTTTAATCAAGATGTCGCTCAGATTGCATCTGAAGGCTTTACCAGAAGGCTAGAGGGTCTCCCTCCAGAGGCTTGCTCACTCACATGCTTTTAGCCATGGCTCCTTCTAGCTAGAGAAGAGGCTCAGCTCCACATCCTAGGCTTTTCAGTAGGACTGCTCACAGCACAGGTCATCTGGCTTCCTCCAAAGTAAATGATGAGACAGAGACAGAGAAACACCCCAACCAGATGAGACCATTACCTAGTCTTCACACATCACTCACTTCTGCTTTATTCTCTATGTTACAATTGAGTTAAGTCTATCCTACATTCAAGGGAAGGGAAATTAAGCCCCACCTCATGGACAGACCAGTTAATTCACTGAAGTATTTTTAAACCTGTCATCATCCATATTATTGAACTTAATTCAGTACTTCCTTCAGGAACCATCTAAAATAACCTGAGGTTCTCTATAGACTGCAGTTTGAGGTCTCAGATACTCTGTGTCTTAATTCTTCTTGGTGCTTGGATAAAATAGTCTGACAAACATCTTTTAGGGAGAAAGGATTTATTTTGGCTTACAGTTCAGGTTACAGTAAGTCATGGTGGGGAAGTCACAGTGGCCTGAGCTTGGTCACACTGTATCCCAGATGCAGAGAGCTACAAATACATGTATGCTGCTCAGCTCTTCTCTTGTTCAGGGTCCCAGCCAGGGAATGGTACCGCCCAGTGGAAGAGATTCCCCACCAGTCAGGATAATCCCCACAGGCACTCATAGAGGCTCGCCTTCAGGTGATCTAGATTCTGTCAAGTTGACAGTTAACCCTGTACCCTCTGTGATGACAGTTAACCCTGTACCCTCTGTGAGTTAAATATACTGTAGGCCACCCAAGGAAATGAGTTGCTTTGTATCATGCCTTAACAAAACCATGAAGTTGGCATTTTAACTGTTTGGAGTCAATTTATTTTGTAGCAACAAGGAAATATTTTCACTTTTCTTATTAATTTTTTTTTTATAAAGAATTAGGAAGACTTTATAGGTTATTTCTTAAATCTAGTTCTTAAATACTATGTACTAGCTGTCTTTCAGGATAGTATGTTGACTGAAAAAACTTGGCTACTTGCAAACTTGCTTCTATTCCAGCACTCAGGAGGCAGAGGCAAGGGGAATCTCTGAGTTTGACAAAGCCAGCCAGGGCTACATACTGAGACCAAGTCACAGTGCCAGTCACCAGCCAACCAAACATGCAGAAAAGCCCCAAATTTCTTTTATATTTGGTCTTTTATTAATGAATATTACACTTCAAAAAGAGTACTGGCCACAGACACACCTTTTAAAATGTGTTTGGTTATGAACAAAAATACTGCACTGCTACCAGTGGGGTAAGAACCAGATCTCAGGGTAAATGGTTAGAGCCTTAGCCCTTCCTCATCTAGTTAGTGTCTGAGTAGTCCCTCCTCCTCCCAGCTCTTCTTCCTCTTCCCTTAGAATCCAGGTAGGAGTGTCCTGTTAATGTAAAGTCAAGTGTGAGCTGTCTTTTATTTGACCATGAAAAATAGTAATATTTTGAAATTCCACTTGTTTGTTAGATTGTATTTTCTAATTGAGAATATGTATTCACAGTTACTGTCCAGTGGGATTTGGCAGAGGGGTAAAGAAGAAGAAGGAGTTTATGGCTTTCTAGTGGAAGATATCAGAAAGGAGGTGAATAGAGCTTCGAAACTGGTAATTTTTAAACTCATTACGCTAAATGCTACAAATGTGGTTAGTGTTGACTTAGAAGGCTCATGTCAGTTTTCTGTACTAGAAATTTATGGCTGTAGTTTATGTTGTAATGAATATTAATCAAATGTGGTAAGTTTTAATAAAACATTTTTGTTGCAAGAGCTTCACTGATGCTAAATAAACTTGAGGCAGTACTGACTTGACTTCTTTCAATGTTTTCATCATTTCATTCACTTTTTATTTTTAGATTTTGAAGTTAGCATATTCTCTGTGACCCTTTGAGACTATCTTGGATCATGAAGAGGAGCCCATTGTGATCACACCCCCCCCCTTTTTAACTTCAAACTAGAGTTCCTTGTGGCAGTTCACTGGGAGACGTTGAGATTGTCCAGGGTTTCTCCTATGACCTTTCTGACCAATGAGGAGTTAATAAAGCTGTAATCTTGAATCAGTGACCATCATAAGGGTTCTACGATGTGTAGGTACAAGTTTGTATTCTAATTACAGTCTTCTGCTTATATACTACTGTTGAGGTTAGTGGCATTGCATAGCCTTGTTTCCCAGGACTGCCATAACAAATCACAGAAATTAGTCTCTCGCAGTTCTAGAGCCAAAGTTCTACAGCATAGTGTCAGAAGAGTGGAACTTGCTATGGGCTCTGAAGGAGAATTCATTATCTCCCTCCCTCTTTCGAGTGGCTGCTGACAGCCTTGGTTGTTTCTTGGTTTGTGGTAGTATAACTTCAGTCTCTTTTTGCATCTTCTTGTGGCCTACTTTCCTGAGTGTCTTTAAATCTGATTTTTTCCTTTCTTTTAAAAGGACACTAATCATAGAATTCAGTATAGCCCAAATCCAGGATGATCTCATCTTGAGATCCTTACAATCTGCAAAATCTAACTCTGTTGCCACATAAGTTCAGTTCACAGATACTGGAAGTTAGGACTTGTACCCTTTTGGAGGCCACTTCAGCCCACTTTTTCATTTTGGTTAGGATAGAGTAATCTCAGCCAGTTTTTTACAAAATAGTTTTTAGTATTTTCTTGTCCTTGGTGTTTCCTAATGTTTGTGCTTTCTGGTGAGATTTCGATGAAGCTGTATGTGGTGTGTGAACCTTCCAGTCTAGAGTGTTTCAGTGGGAGGACAGGAGACGGCGCCCCACAGCAGTATGCTGGGGTCTTGACAGTGTTTCCTCATAGAATAGGTTTTTAGGAATAATATCTTTAAAAATAATAAGCATCTTTAATCGTAATTGCCATATTGGCTATTATGATGCTGATAATTTTCAGTCTCCCCAAAGAATATTCATTACTTGATAGTGTAGTTCAAAGACTTTTCAAGTTGTGCTTCTGTTTTCATACCTGCTTTAGAAGTGCGCTGTGTGCAAGAAAAGTGGGGCTTCAATTGGATGTGTTGCACCTCGTTGTAAACGAAGTTACCATTTCCCGTGTGGACTTCAGAAAGAATGTATTTTCCAGTTTACTGAAAATTTTGCGTGAGTTATTTAACTGTTAAATATGAAATGTGAATGTTAAAGAACAATGGGAAATTGATATTCCAAAGATATAATTCTTTTGTAAAATTAATTTTTAAATCTGTACTAAATTAATACATACATATTATATATTTATATAAGCTACAAGGTGTAGCCTATGGAGTTAATTCTATCTGATAAGACTTGAGAATTGCAGTGTCTAAACTGGGCTTCATGATTAGTATTTACCTTCAGCTTTCAACTCTAGGATGTAGTATTGGGTGTGAGCCGTATTTCTGTGAAAACTTTCATCTTACACAATTGACAAATTAGTTGGAAACATAGAAACTTAAGTTTTTAAAATTAGGCCCTGGAATACCACCGAAAATATTTGTTTCCTGAGTATAACTTCAAACACGATTTTGTGAATGTTGGCATTTGGTACCAAAAGTGTACTCTGCTTCTTCAAGTTGTATTGTGTATACGGTGGGGCAGGACCATAGAAGAAGACTGTACTATAGAAAATAGAAGTGGAAATAATTAGATTAGGAATAGATTGTTCTCCTGCCTTCGGTTTGTTCCATGATTAAGTTATAAGTTCTGGCCTATAAGTTTTCATGCTGCTAAGTACAGTTATGCACTGAGCTGTTAAGTACAAGAGTCTGTGTACTCCATTGCTAACACAAGTACCTACACCAGATCTCGAAGCCTATGAGGTAAGCCTTACCACCAGAGAGGTTATATTTTGAAACACCTAGCTTTCTTTGATTCTAGGTTGTTAGACTGCAATGCCCACATCTGTTTTAGGTTAATTTATGAGGCAAGTAGTAATAAATTCTGTTAAATGTATAAATTACATTAGCCTAGTTGTGTTTCCCGCTCCCTTACTCTTGCTTATGAATTACTCTTAATTTATATTTGTAGGTCATTTTGTTGGAAACATCGACCTGTTCAAGCAATCACATCTAATAACTATAGAGAATCTTTACCGTGCACCATTTGTTTGGAGTTTATTGAGCCTATTCCTACTTACAACATACTGCGAAGTCCTTGTTGTAAGAATGCTTGGTTTCATAGAGACTGTTTACAGGTAAGGTATGCTTCCTCAATGATATTAAAAAAACTAATTTAGAATTGCACCCACATGGACACTTGACTATTATAAATATCAGTAAGCAATTGCTAATTGATTGGAGTGCACAGTAAGGGTTAGTTCCTGAGTCGCTTTCTCTAAAAGGATCTACAGTGGCTTTTCTACTCAATGAGAATCCTTACTGAACTGTGAAGCATACCCTCTAACTCTCTGTGTGTGTCTAAACAAATATTTCTAAGTACTTTGAGTACTACATACAGGACTTTGGTACAGAAGAAAGACCAGATATTTAAATGAATAGAACCGGTAAGAAGTTTCTACTCTGTATCAGAGAATTGTCAATATTCTTCTCTGGTTTGGATTTTCCATCAGTGACTTGTTGGTGTTTTCCGCATCCTATTCTCTGTGTTTTGTTTGTTTGTTTTGTTTTCCTGCCTGATAGTTCCTTGTACCAGGCCTTGTAAGACCCTGTAAGACCCCAGCACCCTCCTGCGTTGCTCAGAGCTTCCCATGTACCTCATGCTCCCTGGGCTTCTGCACCTGACACCCTTCCTCTGCTGCTGCTTTCCCATCCGTCCGCCATCCTCTCACTTAGGTATTTCTGTGCGCCCTTTTCTGTTGTAATCCCACTCTGCGACTTGAGTTGGATTTGTAGGGCTGTACTAGTTGCTCTTCTAGGGGTTTTATTTCCTATCCATTGTTTTATTCTTTAAGTTTTTCTCTATCTGGCTTTAATTAACCTGTTTAGCCTTATTACTTAGTTCATTTTGGCCAGAAGTTACATCTAAGTATATTGCTGCTTGCAGTTCCCTAATCACTTGCTCTCTGTCTTGCTGTGGAGACTTTGTATTCTCTGCTGTTGGCATGTCTTTCCTCCTGTTTTCCTGGTGGTCTCTACTTCTAAACTGAGTTTTCGTCTTCCTACGCCTTTGATGCTTTTGTCATTGTAGTCCACACTGCTTCCTCCTACTACCATGTATAGACTTCTTTAAAAATAGCACTTTGGGGCTGGGCGTGGTGGTGCACACCTTTAATCCCAGCATTTGGGAGGCAGAGGCAAGCGGATCTTTGTAAGTTCGAGGCCAGCCTGGTCTACATAGTGAGTTCCAGGCCAGCTGGGGCTACAGGGAGACCCTGTCTCAAAAAAGACAAAAAGAAATAAATAAACAATAAATAAATAAATAGATAAATAAATATAGCACTTTTAGCCAGGCATGGTGGCTCATGCCTTCAGGTCCAGCACTCTGGGAAGCAGAGGCAGGCAGATCTTTGTGAGTTCCAAGCCAGCTGGGGCTACAGGGAAACCCTGTCTCAAAAAAGGACAAAAAAAAAAAGGACTCTTGAAGCCAGGTGGGGCAGCATGAGTCTTTAACCTCAGCATGAGGGTCTGAGGGAGCAAAGGAGAAGGGTACAGAGACAGGTGGATTCTTGGATTCACTGGCCAGTTAGTCTAGCTGAGTATATGAGCCCCAGGTCTCTAAGAAACCCTATCTGCAAACACTAAGGGGGGAGTAGTTGAGGAAAACAGCTGACATCAGCACCCCGCCCCCCAGAAAGACATAGGTACACCACACACACACACACACACACACACAATTTTTGCATCATATTATAGCTGTATTCCTACTCACTAGGATTCCTGTGCTATCTAGTTTTGGTACGCAGCATCATTTGTCATCCCTAAAGTAGAGTTTAAGTACTTATTGACCGAGCGTGTGCTCCTGGTTTTGGCAGGGCTGCTGCTCACTGTGGGGCTACATAGTCTCCTAGAGCCTGGATGTCCTTGGTGGCTTCCTTTTTATATGTGCTGTGCAGCACTGAGAACACATTTAATACTTTTCCTTTGACAAAGAAAAATCAACATAAGTTATAAACAGAAGCGGTGATGATTTATATATAATAGTTAAACATCCTTTCTAGACAATGCAGGATTTAGGAACTGAAATTGTATTAGGTATCAAAGGTTGAAAACACAAATCAGTGACAGTTGAAAGGCCAAGAATGACTTCTTGAGTTACTTCTTTTAAAACCATGAAGAAAAGCCATCTTTATTTTAGCAGTGGTATGACTTAGCTTTATAAATTTGAGAACCACTGACACAAAATCTTTTCATGACCTCGTAAGTGAAAATAATACGTGTTCTCTTAGTTCTATAACTCACAACCTGGTAAGACTTATTGTTAACAATAGATTTTCCATTTTTCCACTGTAGGTTCAAGCAATAAATGCAGGAGTGTTTTTCTTTAGGTGTACAATATGCAATAATATTGACATCTTTCAGAAAGAGATGTTAAGAATGGGAATTCATATTCCTGAAAAGTGAGTAACATTTAGCTTTTTGACAAAAAAGTATTTTAAATTTAGGATTTAATATTAGAAATAGTGATTTCTGTCTGGTTAAGTGATCATGGACAAGTAGCCATTTCCAGTGGTAAAAATGCCTCTTCTCTGATTGCTAACTCTCAGAGAGCAGGTACTGTGATGTCAGTATCCATTTACTGATGTGTCTTTTACTACTTCATTAAACTCGAATTTTGATTGATTTGTTATATAGTCTTCATGGGTATTTATAAATTGCCTCAGAGATTCAAAATGGATTTAAAATGAGCAAGAACAAATTCAGTAATGCTTTAGGATGACAAATCCAAAGTAGTGATTACTAGTAGAAAGTAAAAAGTGCACCCCAGTACGTATGCAGGGTAGGGAATTTGAGGCTAACATGGGCTACCATAGCGGATTCCAGGCCAGCCGGAGCTACAGAACGAAACCCTGACAAAAAAACGAGAGGGGGTGGGATGGGACACCGTCTGTAGTCCTCGCACTTGAGAAACATAGGCAGGGGGATTATGAGTTTGAAGTTAGTCTGGACTCTATAGTGAGAGCCTGTCTAGAAACAACAACAACAACGGGAAATGAAATAATTAGGAAATGTAGGTTTTAGAAAATTTCTGTTTAACTTTTCGCTTAGCATTTGGAAATTCCCTGTGAAGCTAACATATGAAGTGACATGATGGATTTCTTTGTTGAAAAGAATACTCTAAAAAGGACAATTTTCACTCTTGTTCCTAAGTTATTAGTCCCTTCTGTAACATTTTAGATCAAAGTATACTTTATATCTTGCTTCATTTATAGAGATGCATCCTGGGAATTAGAAGAAAATGCCTATCAAGAGCTTTTGCAGAGCTACGAGCATTGTGATGTTCGAAGATGTCACTGCAAAGAAGGGAGAGACTATAATGAACCCAATAGGTATTTCTAACAGTTGTGTTGTACTTAATTGTCCCTTATGAAATCTTTAGATAAGGACATAGGCTTTCTGGTTAGTGAAATGCAGTTTTACTCTTAGGATGTTTGAAGTTTTAACTTAAGATTAAGCATATTTATTAAATGTATATGTGTGTATGTTTACAGAGAATTTTTGTAGTTAGTGTACTTGTCACTTAGTTCTCTGGTGCTTTTTCATGAGTGCTTATTAGAGTACAGCGTCCTATGTGGTAGTGACAAAGCACATGTGGCTATTGAAACTTGGAAATATTGCTGTTTCAAGTTGAAGCAATGCTATAAATGTACATTACAAAAGATATAATCCACCAGAGCTCCTGTAACAGAATACCAAAGACTAGATGGTATTTCTGGAGGCTTGAAGTCCCATGATGAGGTGCTTATGACCGGTTTCTTCAGACGCCTTGTTCCTTTACGTTTTCTCCTCACAGTTTGCCCTTTGTGTCCTAGTCTCTGTCTTTCTGACAATAAGTGATTATTTGTGTTATATAATTTGCCTTAATATAGGAAGAAAGTGATTTGGTGTGTCAACTCCTACTCTGTGAACAATCAGCAAGGATTGGCCAGCTTTGCAGAGTTTCTCCTAAACAGTTCTCTCCACTTCTGATTCCCAAATCTGGACTACCATTTTCATTTGTCCTAGTTATAATATAATTGGCAGTATTTAAATCTATTCTTACTAAACCAGAAATCCTTCAAGGGCAGAGATCTTGTTAAAGGTGTTCAGTGTTACTGTTTGTTTCTTTTTGCAGTACTAGGGATTAAATTTAGGCTTGCGTACATGCTAGGAAAGTGCTCTGCCATTGAGCCATTATGTCCCCTCAACCCATAGGTGTCAAGTGATATGTATTCTTGGCTTTATTTGATTTAGCTTCCCTGATAATTCATTTCTCATCACTAACATTATCTCCTTCAAAGACTGTGCTTATTAGGTATAACTGAAACAATGTACGTAGAGTTCTCAAAAGCAATACATTCACTAATGTTGATGATAGTTTTCTAAATTCACTTTAGACACTTACTGTATATTGTGATTCTCCTAATAGTTATAAAATCCCCCTTTTCTGTAACTACTATTTGAGGTTGCTGTTGTTTTTTGCCTTTTCTGGGGGACTTGAAGATCTGTTAACAATGCTTCCTGTTATAATTGTACTCCCTCTCATCCCAATCACAGGAAGGTAGTATTGGCGTAGTGGCTCAGAGCACGGGACTAAACCAAACTAAGCTGGGTTGGAAACCTCACTCTGAGGCCTAAGCAGCATGAGCTTAATTAGAGAAACTAACTCTGTGCTGCATGAGTGAGGATACTAGGAGTTCTGCGTACTGTCTAAAATTATGAGCGTCAAGTATCCTCGGTGTGCTTTTCTAAGACTGTAAGATTCAAACTTTTTATGTAAAGAATGAGAGGAGGTCCTGGTGTGGAATAGGCATCCGTTTGAGCTGTCATTTTCCTCATTGTGAGTGGGCATAATTATTAGAGAAGTGAGGGAGCTAGGCACATAGACACCCACACACTCAAACATACCCACTCCTGTGGGAGGGTTGGAGGACTCTGTAGCTACCTGATATTATACCTTGCCAGCCATATTTCCACACACTCAAGGAGTTATATTTGTTTCTATACAAAGGTGATGATCTATTCAGATCACACAAAGTGAAAGAAGTTTCACTCCAGCATACATCGTACCTTACAGAAAGTATGAGGAAGCATGGTGAGAGGAACAGAGATGAGAGTGAGTGTGAGTGAGCCAGGGTGGAGAGAGGAACAGATGAGAGTCTGAGTGTGAGCCAGGTGCAGGCTCATGGTTGGGCCTCAGAGCCTGAAATGTCTGCAAGCTTTGTTTTTAATTTATACCTTAAAATACCTAAAACTTCATGTGAGACGCAATGAGACAGTAGTCTCCCTATAAATGTAGTTATCGCCAAATGTGAGGAAAATGTTTTTCTCTCTAATCATAAGCCTTACTGATGTTAATAGTCTTTGTATGTATATATATATATATATATATATATATATATATATATATATCGGTATTCATTTTGGTTTTTAATATGAGATATTTAGAGGAAGTGGTTACAGACATTACACGAAAGAGGAAAAAATGCTTTAGGACCAGGTGTGTTGGTACATGCCTATAATCCCAGGTGAGGTAGGAGGATCATTGGTTCATGGCCAGCTTGGGCTGCTTAGCTAGACCTGTCTAAATCAATGAGTTAGTGAATGCTTTAGGAAGAATTGCAATGTTGAAAACATAGTCTGAGTTGTGTATATATAGTAGACGTCAGGACCTAGCACTCCTGATAACTGGAATAACATTAAGTTAATAACAACATAATATGCTTTTCTTTATGTCCTCAGCAAATGGGAACTAAAGCGCTGTGAGTGCTGTGGTTCTAGTGGAACGCATTTAGCCTGTTCCTCACTGCAGTCATGGGAACAAAATTGGGAGTGTTTGGAGTGTAGAAGTATTGTCTACAGCCCAGGTAATAGTTTGTAATTTTGGATAAAGTTTTTGTTCAAGTGCATGTTGCTAAAAATGCTTTACCTATATTTCTGTTAAGCTAACCTTGGGATTTAAATATGTAGATTTCCGAAAGGCCCCCAAACACCCGTTAACCAACTCCATTAATGTGGCGATTACTGATTGCTTGTTGGAAGAATCATCACCTAAACTGCGCAGACAGTCGCCTAGAGCTCAGCATAAAGAACTACTAAGGTATGTATTTTCAATTTTAGGAAAATAGAAATACCAGTATGGGGAAAATATGACAGCAAATGTCAGACACATTTAGGATAGTAGTTGCTCATACAGTAGTTTAGAAGAGTGTTTCCCAAACTGTTAGATCCAACATGGGATCATGCAGTCAAGGGAGGTGCGAGGAGGTAGGCTAGCTGGGCATGGTGTCCTGCCTGTGGCCCAGGACTTAGGGGATGAAGGGAGATGAATTTAAGGCCAGCCTGAGATACATGAACCCATGTGTCACCGAGAAAGAAAGGGAAGGAGGGAGGGAGGGAGGGAGGGAGAGAGAGAGAGAGCAGGAGCAGGATATCTGGCTATATTAAACATGAAGAATGAAGTCATTTTTAGATTTTTTTTGTTACTTTCTTATACACTGAGTTATAAAGTACTTTAAAACATTATAAACATCCTGGAAAATACATTTACAACATTATTTGATTACAGAGTAAAACAAGGAAATTTAAATATCAAGCACACTGTCCCTTTATAAAAAAGTAAAGTGATTATTCTAATCTCTGTTTGTTTTATGTATAGTCAGTATCAGAAGCCTTAAATGTAGGCTCCTTCCTTAAGAAAATTTAAGACTTATCTCTGAGTATTATTATTCCTAAGTAATTCTTAAAATTATTCATAAACATTTAAACAAGACGAGTTATATTTTATATGCAGCAAAGAACGAAGTGTTCTTTGCTGTTACAATTTATGTAACTTTGCACAAAAAATTTTAGAGCCTTATTTTACCCAGTAGGACAAAAGCATCTAAGCATAAAGTCCTTTTTATTTTATTTTTTTATTTTTGTTTTATGTGTATGCGTGTATTGCCTGCATGTAGATAAGTGCACCTGTGTCATGCAGTGCTCATGGAGGTGAGAAGAGGCTGTCAGATCCCCTGGAACTGGAGTTACGGACAGTTGTTAGCTGCCATGTGGGTGCTGGCATTCAAACCTGGCTTCTGCAACAACAGTCAGTGTTCTTAACCACTGAGCCATCTCTCCAGCCCCATAAAATCCTTTCTTGTTAAAAATAGTTTTAAAAAGATGGAAAAGAAATTTTGTGAAAGTATTTAACTCAGTTTGTAGATGAATATTAAATACTTGTCAAAATTTTAAAATTCAACTGAATATATATTTTGTATTTTATATAAAAAGATTCTCGTTTTTAAAAGAATTTTGATATTTAGGTCTTCAAAGATGCTGCACCAGGGAACCCTTAACTCCTTATTATTCCTGCTTTACCATACACTCATATTCTTTTTTATTTTTACGTGTATAGTTTGCCTGCATGTATGTAAGCACACATAGGTACAGTACCTGCTGAGGCCAGAAGAGGGCATAGGAGTCCCTCAGGAACTACAGTTAGAGTTGTGAGCCTCCATGTGGGTGGGAAACCGGACCTCAATTCTCTGCAAAAGTAACAAAGTGCTCTTAACTGCTGTGCCATCTTTCCAGCCCTGCAGTCATATTCTTGAAGAACAGCTTTGACATTCTCACCTATCCTGGTGGGAGTAAAGAATCAACTTGGTGTGATAAAGTATGATTTCTTTTTCTTCAACTTGGGTAATGATTAGAGGATTCTGAATTAAAAAGGAAAAAAACAAAACTTGGACTATAACTAGGGCACTGTAATGTTTTGGGGTGGTACACATTTATACTTGATGTAGAAAGATGACCCATATACATTGAGCACATTAATTCTACCTACAGATGGAGACTGAGGCAGAGAGTAGTTAAATTAATCCATGCAGTCCACATGAATTGTTAGCACACCAAGGTTCTTACTAATTAACATTCATAACTGTTTCACAGATGATGGTGATGCTCTTGATCTAAGAACTATGGGTCTAGACTTAAAGGTGCTATTTAGGGGATTATGAATTCTGTTCATAATATTAACTGTAGTTATAATAATTATAACCCAATTATTAAAAATGCATTATTGATACAATTAAAGAAGCTTTATCTGTTGGTCAGGAAGTGAGAGTTTGAAGTTGCTCCTTTCAAACCTGAGTTCACTGAATTAGACATTGATATAATCTTTGGAGTGAGGGAATTTAAAGGTAGGTAATCAGATTTTCATTTTTGGTTTCAGTATTAGAAAGAATATTTTTTTAAACTTTTAAAAAACAATCTCAGTGTGTGTAGCTTTTCCACATAAAGTACTTCAAAGTAATGTTCTTTATTTAAATTTGTGTTCTAGGCAAAGCAGCAAGTTTAGGAGAGACATTTCAACAGTTTTGATGGAGTTAGGATTCCAAATTAAAAAGAAAGCCAGAAGATTATATATCAACAAAGCCAATATTTGGAGGAGTGCCTTAGAGGGATTCAGAAGTCAAAACTTTAATCCTTCAAACACAATTGAAGTAGTATATCTTAATGAAAATGATACACTTGGAAGAGAGTATCCCGGATCAAAACAAGAATTTCTGAGTCTTTTAATGCAACATCTTGAGAATTCATCATTGTTTGAAGGGTCCTTATCAAAGAACTTATCTCTAAATTCTCAAGGTAATTATTTTTATTATTGTATATTATCATATGTGAAAATAGCACGTATAGAAAAAGAAATTGGTAGCTAATTAGAACTAATATCATTAAGTATCTGAAATCATTTACACTATTAATAAATTAAAAAGATTGAGAGGTGATTTTTTTGTCTTTTTGAGACAGGGTCTCCTTGTAGCCCCAGCTGACCTAGAACTCGCTATGTAGACCAGGCTGGCCTCGAACTCACAAAGATACACCTGCCTCTGCCTCCCTGCCTCTGCCTCCCTAGTGCTGGGATTAAAGGCGTGCACCACCACACCCGGCTTGAGAGGTGATATTTTTAAGTAATTAAGAATATCTGTATTATACAGTATCCTTAAAATGATTTCATAATTATGCTTATTTAAACTTTGCATTTCCTTGAATTTTATAGTCAACCAGTTCATATTTTTGGAATGAGCACCTGGCATATTGCTTAGCAACATGGAATTCATTTTAAATTAGTTTTCTGGTTCATATATAACAATTTTGTTCTTTTTTAAGAAGTGCTGAGAGGTTCAGGCCCTAGGCCTTGGGAATGATCAGCAAGTATGGCACTGCTGAGCTGCATTTACCAACTCCAGGTTGAACGTTTTTAAATGTACTTTGCTTACAAGAACTTTCTTGAATAATTTTATGTATATGCTTTTCTGTGTAGCTCTTTAACATAAACAAGCACTTCAGAACAGTGGATAATTAGTTCAGTCTTCTTAGGAGCTTTTCTTTAACCTTTTCTACAATAGGAAAATTGAAAGAACAAGTGGTCTTACTTCATTACAGTTCAATTTTTCCTTTTTTTATCCTAGAATTTTATCATTGTTTAAAGCATACTTTTTCTATTTGCAAAATAAACAGCTTACTTCCAAGTACCCTCTACCCCCCAAAAAATAAACCCTCCCAGATAAAGGTAACTTTGGTACAGTAGAAACTGCAGAAATTTAAGTCACAAAACCTCAGATCTGTCTATATCCTCTATGTCTACCTGAATAGCTTTTGTGTCCTTAGATGAATTATCTTCCCTGAATGTGGACAGTTTTTATCTTCTGCAAAATACAGCTGCTAATAAGATCATTGTTGGAGAGATGATGTTATAAATTGAAGTGTTATAAATGTTACTTACTAGTATATTGTTTTGAACAGTTACTGTAAATATAAAGGAAATTTTGCATCTTTCTCACCCATCAAAATTGCTAAAACATTTTGAATAATAATTTTTAAAAGTATTTAAAACCGACTTGAATATACGGTAAGGTAGCTATATACTGTTAAATAAATTTCTCTTTGTAAGATAGTTAAGTGATACAGATCAACAACCTTAAAAATGTTTATATCCTGGGGCTGGAGAGATGGCTCGGGTAAGAACACTGGCTGCTTTTGCAGAGGACCTGGGTTTGGTTCCCAGCACCACATGGTGCCTAACAACTGCTATAACTCCAGTTCTTGGAGATCTGACGTCCTCTTCTGACTTCCATAGATATTGTGTGACATGGGTGCACTTACATATATGCAGGCAATACACTCATACACACAAAATAAAAATAAAATTTTTTAAAAAGTTTATATCCTTTGACTTGGTGATACCATACATAAGAATTGATCCTAATAGGATCATATATATGAACAAGAACGTATAGATTTATGTTGTTCATAACATTATGTCTCATATATTGAGAATACCACCCAACCAGGATAGCCAGAAATAAGGAGATGCTTTGTATTCCAGTAAGTCTAAAGCAGTCTTAATGTAGCCATTTACTGTAGGTTTTACTCCATTTTGAATAGTGTTAAGAAAATTTACAACATAACAGGTAAAAAAAGCAGAAATCAATTATGTATTTATTTACAGACAAGCAGAAACACAGGATTTACATTTATTATTGTGTTGGGATTATAGGAAATTAATTTTTCTCGAAGACTTTCTATTTACATTTTTTCTGCAATAGGCTATTTAGATCCAAAAAAATATAGATTTCTGGGTGAGGTCTGTATACTGGGTGGTAGCTTCTTATGATTGTTATTTTACAAATGTTTAGATTTTTTAATTTTAACTATATATGTCTTCATTTAAATGATGGCTATATTATATATTCAGTTCATTTTTTATCTATATTTACAGCTCTGAAAGAGAATCTTTACTATGAAGCTGGAAAGATGCTCGCCATTTCTTTAGTTCATGGTGGTCCCTCACCTGGTTTCTTCTCTAAAACTTTGTTTAACTGCATTGCTTATGGACCAGAGAACAGCCAACCAAGTTTGGATGATGTTTCTGACTTCCATGTGGCACAGATTATAATCAGGGTAAGAAACACACTTGTTTATTAAAATGTAAATTACATTCTAGCTATATTTTAATGTGACTTATGTACAATAGAATAGTAATACTCTGATCTTTTAAAGGAATTTTTGGCATGTAATATTTATGTTAACCAGAAGATTTACATGTCTGTAATCCTACCACTTAGGAGTTCAAAGATGCTAGGTGTGGTTGTGTTTGCCTTTAATCCTAGCACCCAGGAAGGTAGACAGGCAGAACTCTGTGAGTTCTAGGCCAGCCTGGTCTTTATAGTGAGACCCTGTAGCCAAGACTAGATGCCAGAGACAGGCAAAGTTCCTCATTGCTTCCTTGAAAGCAGATAAAATAAACTTTGTCATAGATAAATCTGAGGAGAAGCAAAATTTGGCTTACCAGTCAGAATGCTTTTTCTTTGCTCCTATGGAGAAATGCAAAAAATGAGGAGAGCTACCAAGTTTAATTTCTTCCCTATGGAAAGAAACGGAGGGTCCTAATGTTCCTACCTAAAAACGGTTAACATTCATAGGCCGTGCACAATGGACCTTGTACTACATGTGTCACATATATAAACTAATTTATCAACCCTCATAAGTTAAATGTCGTTGCCTACAAGGTTCTGATTTGGAAACTGAAAGAGTGGAAGCCATTTAATTTTTCCTTAACTTCTCTCATACATAAGCATTCTTTATCTCTTATCCCACTTGATAAGCAGTATAATTGAATGATTTAAATAACATAGGCTTAGTGTTGAAATTTTAGTTCACATGCCAGCTCTGATAACTGTTGTAACCTTTGGCAACTTATTAATCCACATATTCTGAAGTATGGGTACTCTATTTATTTGGCTCAAGGCTACTGCTCTTAAAATCATATTTTATTGTTTGGTTTGATGGTTTATTTTTGAGATACTGTCTCACTAGCCTGCTCAGGCTTGCTTCCCACTCTTGATCCTCTTTCCTTAGCCATCCGAACTGATGGGATGACACCTGCCTCTAATCCCTTGTGTTACTCAGGCCTTGCTAAAATCATGTGTATATACATGTGTAGGTGCTGGCAGAGTCCAGAAGAGAATATTGGATCCTCTGTAGCTAGAGTTAAAAGCAGTTATAATTCACCTGATACAGGTGCTAGGATTTGAACTCCAGCTCCCTGAAAGAGCATTAAGTTCACTTGACCACTTAGCCATCTCTCCAGCTCTCCTTTGTCAATTTTAGAATCAATTTGTCAAGCCCAACATGTTTTTAAATTTTAAATATTTATTATATCGCTATCGTATATGTTACACACTTGCCATGACACATTTGGAGGTCAGAGGACAACTTGAGAAGGTCAGTTCTCTCCCTCCCGTGGGATCTGGGGATCCAACTCAGGTCATCAGCCTTGTGTGGCAAATAATTTTACATGCTGAGCCATCTTGCCAGCCTGCCAACATGTTTCATGAAACAAAATAAATTCCTTTCTTTAGCCCAAAGTATTTTCTTTGCTTTTTCTAAAGAAGTTTTTATTTATAAGCCATCTTAGATTAGAGAAGGGATAATTTTCATTCTTTTCTCTTTTTTCCCAAGTTTATGCCGAATCATTATAAAAGTGTCACACCTTTGACATTTATTATCTCTGTTGTGTCTTATAGCAAACTCCAATTGTGTCTAGGCTTAGACAAATGGACAAGTTTTAATATTTTCAGTAATTCTAAAAGATTTTCCTGCCTGTTTTTCACTTAGTTGAATAATACTATCTTAACTGAACTATTTATCAATGAAGGTAGAATTCTTAATTAATATATTTCTTACCCTTCTCAGAATTTACATTTTAGAAAAAACAGAAGATAAGTGTTTAATATATTGCCACATAGTTAATGTATTATAAAGGTAAATGCAGAAACATACCGGGGTTAGATAATGGTCAGCCTATGTATTATATATAAGCTTAAGTTTAGACCAAGCTTCTTAAATGAAGGGACCAAAAAAAATAGTGGTTCAAGAAAGTGAGGTGTTTGTTTCTCTTTAAAAGCTATTGTCTAAGCTGGGCATGGTGGTACACGCCTTTATTCCCAGCACTTAGGAGGCGAGGCAGGCGGATCTCTGTGAGTTGAAGGCCAGCCTGGTCTACATAGTGAGTTCCAGGTCAGCTGTGGCTACAGGGAGACCGTGTCTCAAGACCAAACAAACAAAAAAACTTTAAAAACCCCAAACAGCTATGGTCTAGATTTTAGAATGAGGACTAGCAAAATAGATCCTGAGGGCTGTGTCTGGCTTACCGCTTCCTTTATTCCTAACATTTATTCACTGGAGAGGGGGCATGTGTTTGCGCCACTGTGTTGGAGTTGTTTCTCTCCTCCTACTGAGCTATCTAACCAGCTTACAGCCTCATTTTGTGAAGAATGTTACTGGAACACAACCACACTTAATATTTTCTACTTTCATTCTTCAGCAGTAGGTCAAATAGATACCACAGATACAAAGTGGCTACAAAGCATGGGTACTAATCTGACCCTGTCTCTGTAGAAATAAACTCTTTAAAAACATACATGAGATACACAAAAAATGTAGAGAATTGTGCTGCTTCTCATTGTACAGTCTCTTAGAACACTGTCTTCATGTGTGAAGATTGACTGGAGATAGTAACACCAGAAGGGAGGTAGACTGGGATTTGATGGAACAGATCTCTCTCAGCCACATAGCTACACTTAGCCACAGGAAAGCTCTTCCTGAATCCAGATCAACCTCGAGTAGAATTGAGGATGAGGCAGCATACACCTTTTACACTGTCTCTGACAAGTGAAAGGTCACATAGAGTAGTCAGGGAAAACCTCGAGATTTCAGCGCAGATCTTAAATATGGGAACTAATGTAAAACTCTGGAATAGCAAGTAAATTATTTATTAATGGATTATTGATTACCTCCTGCTTTTATTCTTCTGTATGTTGTCACCCAAAAAATTAAATATTTCTTTGTTTATGTTTTCACTAAAATACACTTGGTAAAATCCTATCCATATTTTCTTTATTGTTACTTTTCAGTGCCACTTTGTAATCTTATTTTTTTATATTTTATTATTTTTTATTTTTATGCATATGAGTGTATTGCCTGCATGTGTGTTAAATGCACTCAGTGTTGTGCAGTGCCTGGGGAGGTTAGAAAAGGGTATCAGATCCCCTGGAACTAGAGTTATGAACAGTGGTTAGCCATCATGTGGGTAACTAGGCACCAAACCCAAGTCCTTTGCAAGAGCAGCCAGTGCTACTAACTGCTGAGTCATCTCCCTAGCCACTAATCCTCCTTAATAATCTTTTCTGTTGTTGTTGTTCTTTTTGAGACAGGGTCTCCCTGTAGCCCCAGCTGACCTGGAACTCACAGGGATCCGCCTGCCTCTGAGTGTTGGGACTACAGAATCTTTTAAAATGTATTTATTTATGTGAATGTGTATGTGCCTAAGTTGCATGTATGTGTGCCACGTGTGTGCAGTACCTGTGGAGACAAGAAGAATGCATCAGATCTTCTGGAACAGGAGTTACTGGCAGTTGTAAGCTACCCTTTGTGAGTGTTGGGAACTGAACCCAGGTCCTCTGCAAGAGCAGCAATTGCTCTTAACCAGTGAACCATCTTTTTAGCCCTACCACTTAATTTTTATAGAAATCTCTTTCTGTATTAAACAGGCCTTTTTTCAAAAAGCTAAGCTTTTGAAAACTGAAATCTCTAATATTTATCGAACTGTATCGTAGAAAAATATTTCTTGGTATGTTTTTGTTGTACCCTGGTTTACTAAAAAATTGGACTGACTGCTTTTGTGGAGTATCTTGAGCTCAGTTCCCAGCAGCTATGTTGCACAGCTCCCGATGGCCTTTAACTCCACATCAGGGACTCTGACCCCTGGCCTCACCAGCACCTGCACTCAGGTACACCTACTGACACTTGTATACACACACATTTTTTTTTTTTTTTGAGTATAAAGTATGTGTCATTTGAAATGTAGCTGTCACAATGAGTAAGAGGGCATACTTTCTCCTGTGTTACAGATAAATACTACTACAAATATGGCCGACTTAAACTCAGTAATAAACGAATGCTATAACTACTTAGAGTTTATTGGATGTCTAAGACTTATAACAACATTAAGTGATAAATACATGTTGGCAAAAGACATACTTTTCTACCATGTAATTAAGAGAGTCCAAGCACCTTTTGAGAGGTAAGTTGTTTGTATATTGAAGATTCTCTCAAATTATATGCTTAGAATTGTTAATTATTTATAATGTGAGATATAGTTGGTAATAAATGTAAATGTCAAATTTTGAAAAAAAAAAATGCTAATCCTGCTTTAAAGCTTAAAGGACCAATGAGTCCTTGATCATTTTGTCCAGAATTACATGATTGTGTCTTCTTAGAAATAATCCTCACTTCAAACTTATAATTGTTACTCTAATAAAAAGTCATTTAAAACCTATTAGCACTTGAACTATTCTCTCTCTAATCAGATGTAATAACTGTCAGCACCTGTCATCTGCTGGGTAATGTAAGCCCTCACCATTCTTTCATTCACAAAATAGATCTGATTCTTGCTTTTTTTTTTAGTTTAAAATGCTGTTTTTCAAGCTCTTTGTCCCAATAAGACTGAAGTTTGAAACTTCATCTCAACTCAGCATCCTAAGTGCTAGGTATATTCTACCCAGCCCATCTCATTAGAAGCCTCTTCATCTTGGTTTTTTTTAGAGTTATTTTAACTCTTTTAAAAAATATTTTATATTATTTGTTACTTTTTATGTGTATGAGTGTATTGCCAACATGTATGTAAGTGCACCTGTGCCGTGCAATGCCTGAAGAGGTCAGAAGAGCATGTAGATCCCCTGGAGCTACAGATGGTTGTTAGCTACCATGTGGGCGATGGGAACCAAACTCCGATCCTCTGCCAGAGCAGCCAATGCTCTTAACTGCTGAACCAGCTCTCCAGCCCTGAGAGTTAATAGTCTTTGATGGCTTTCTTCTTTTTTAGGGGAAGCAGTGCCCATACCTGGTTTTACTACTTTTTTTTTGAGACCCAGGCTGGCCCAGATACTTCTTTTTCATTTATAATTTTAGTAACTGACTTTTAGCCTATGTGGTATTTAGTGTATTCAAAGAAGTATAGCTTTCATCCTCATAACCTCCATCTTCTGTTCCCTTATGAAGTAATCATTTTGTGTTTCTTTGTGTGTGCCTGTGTGCATGTGCAGAGGCCAGAAGACACTATCACTTTCTACCTATTCCTTTGAAGCAGGATCTTTCCTTAGACCTGGGGATCACATTTTCTCTGCTAGGCTGGCAGCAAGCCCCAGCCATCCTTCTGTCTCAACCCTGCTTGGAGCTGGGGTTGTAGGTATGTGCAGGATGCCTGGCTTGTTAATGGGTGCTGGGATCAGAACGCCAGTCTTGATAACTATGCAGCAAGCTCTCCTAACCACAGAGTCATCTCTCCAGCCTGTTGTTGCCTTCATTTGTTTTTGTTTTTATCTTTAAAGATAACAGATACATATGTATGTAGATGTTACGGATAAATAAACGCGCCAGCCATATTTTTTCTAGGTTTTTTTTTTACTTGACAGTATATTCTAGAGATTGATTACTGTGTAGCAGAATAGACATTCCTCCTTTTATAGCACTTTTCAGGGATCCTTTGTTTAGATACTTTTTTTTTTCCAGTCAGTTTCTTTTAATTATATCCAAATCTTTTCTGACTACAAGATTCTGCATAGTATAATTTTCCTATGGATGTAAGCGCACCCATGTTGTGCAAGAGTGTCTTAGTTTGTTCTTCATTGCTGTGACAAAATATTCTGACCACTACCAACTTGGGGAGGAAAGCATTTATTTAGCTTACAACGCCCAGGTCACAGTTCATCAGGGAGCTCAAGGTAGGAACTCAGGGCAGGAACCTGGAGGCAGGAGCTGGAACACAGGCCATGAAGGAACGCTGCTTACTGACTTGCTCCCCTGCCCCCTGCTCAGCCTGCTTTCTTAGGCAACACAGGCCCACCTGCCCAGGGGTGGCACCACCCACAGTGGGCTGGGCCCTCCCACATCATTCATCAAGAAGATGCCCCACAGACATGGCCACAGGCCAGTCCAATGGAGGAAATTCCCCGATTGAGGCTCCCTCAACCCAGATGTGTCAAGTTGACACTAAAGCTATCCAGCACAATTGACCCCTTGTCAACTTGACACACAAACATCGCTATTAAACCATAACTTTCCAATTTCTGTCCCCAAGATATGATGTTAATATCATAACATAAGATAGTACAACCTTAAAAAACACACAGTCCTTAAAAAATCCAAACACTTAAAAGTCTGTAGTCTGTTTTAAAAGTCCCAACTGTGGGTGGGCTTCTGTAAATCCAAAACAAGTACTGTCTTATTTCAAAGGGAAGAATCGGGCACATCTAAGCAAAACCAAAGTCCAGCAAAGTAGCTCAAGGCTGGACATATGGGATTCACTCAGGATCTTCTCGGCTCCAAAGGGTTCTGGCAGCTCCACTGCTCTGACTCTGCAGTCCACAGCACACTGAGCTCGTCTCACAGACCCAGGCCAGCTTCATGCCACACCTGCCGCTGCCCTTGGTGGTCGTCCCATGGTCCCAGCATCTCCAAAAAGCTGGGGTCACCACTGAAACTGAGGCTACACCTTCACCAATGGCCTCTTGCCTCTTGGGGTACAAAGCCTCAGATTCTCTCCATGACCCCTTCAATCCTGGGGTCTTCACTGCACTGAAGCTGTACTTTCACCTATGGCCTTTCCTGGCCTCTCAGAGTGCCAAGCCTCAGCTGCTCTCTGTGACCCCTTCATGCTTTCCACACCAGAACCATGCAGGAGACTCTGACACATTACCAAGTGCTGGTTCTAGCTTGAGATGGAGGCTTGGGTCCCCTCTGTGTGACCCTGAGGAAACACCTCCCAGAAGATTTCACCTTAGTGATGCTGGTCTCTTGTTACTTACAGCTGATTTTTCAGCCCCAGCTAACCAGCATCAATTGTCCCAGTAAAGGTTTTACATCAGGTTCTGGTCTCTTCTTAATCACAGCTGATTCTTCAGCCCCAGTCGACCAGAACCTACAGATTCCTGATCCAAAATATCACACAAACAGCCCTGATAGTCTCTGCTTCCCTTTGAAGCTTCACAAGCCAGGCCTCCATTGTTTACAACTCTTTCAGCATAACTGTTCCAAGCTCTACAGCAACAAACTGAGCACACAATGGCTTTTCCAGCCCAAAGTTCCAAACACTTCCACAGTCCTCCCAAAAACACCAAGGTCAGGTCTGTCACAGCAGTACCCCACCCCGGTACCAATTACTGTCTTAGTTTGTTCTTCATTGCTGTGACAAAACACTCTGACCACTACCAACTTGGGGAGGAAAGCGTTTATTTAGCTTACAATTCCCAGGTTGCAGTTCATCAGGGAACCCAAGGAAGGAACTCAGGGCTGGTACCTGGAGGCAGGAGCTGGAGCAGAGGCCATGGAGGAATGCTGCTTACTGGCTTACTCCCCTTGCCCCTGCTCAGCCTGCTTTCTTATGCAACACAGGCCCACCTGCCCAGGGGTGGCACCACCCACAGTGGGCTGGGCCCTCCCACATCACTCATCAAGAAAATGCCCCACAGGCCAGTCCAATAGAGCCATTTCCCAGTTGAGGCTCCCTCAACCCAGGTGTGTCAAGTTGACACTAAAGCTATCCAGCACAGAGGTTATCAGTCTCCTGGAACTGGAGTTAGGAATGGTTGTTAGCAACCATGTGGGTGCTGCGAATTGAACCCAGGTCCTCTGCAAAAGCACCAGTGCCCTTAACTGCTGAGCATCTCTGTAGCCCCTGCATATCATTTCTAATTATGATTCATAAAATTCAAATGTATTTTATTTGAAATGCATTTCTACATGAAATACATGAGTTTTCCCCTCACTACTTCACCTTCACACAAATGGATCTTGTTCATTGTCATTTATTTCTACTTTTTGTTTTATAGATATCAATAGTCTAGATCATAAAAAGCTTCCCTAATAAAACCTGAATGATAAACAGGAATTGTGAAAATCAAGATAATTCAAAAAAAAAAAACTTTTTATGTAAAAATATTCAAGTAGTTGTAAGATTTATCAAGGCAACGAAAAGCCAGATTATCTTAACTATTACTCCAAAAAATAAGAAGGGTTTAGTGAGGCAAGTATCATCCTCCTAGGAAACAGGATGAAAATAATAAAAGATAGCCTGCTGAGCATGGGGTGTACATTTCATCCCAGCACATCCCAGGCCAAGACCAGACAAAGACCCCGTGTCAAAAGAGACGAGAAATAATGACCTGGCCTCAGACCTTTCTTTCTTTCTTTCTTTTTTTAATGTATTTATTTTTATGTGTATAAGTGTTAGGCATACATATAAGTGCACCCGTGTCATGCAGTGCCCACAAAAGACAGAAGAAGGCATCACATCCCCAGGAACTGGAGCTACAGATGGTTGTTAGCCGTCATGTGGATGCCGGGATTTGAACTTGGGTCTTCTGCAAGAACAGACCACTGAGCCAGCTCTCTAGCCCCAGACATTTCTTTTTGTAGTATGAGCTTTAGACCAAGTAGAACAAAAACTGAAGCCTCAAGTTGATGGAAAAGGAGCCTTTTCTACAACAAAAGAAAGTTGAAATTATTTACAACTATCGATGATTCCAAGCATGGCAAATTTTAGGAGTTTTTAAAATTCTAACTGTGGTGTTACTTACAAAGGTAGAAATCAGAGCAGTTTGAGCCAGTGCCCTCTGTGCTAAGTTCCCTTTCCTCTTTCTTCACCCATGTTGTATTGCCATTTCCATTTGGAATAATTCAAAACTTGATACTTTCCCTTACCTTGTTTTTGGGGTTTCAAACATCGCAAAATAATTGGTCTTGGGGTTTATAATACTTACACCATGCCAGGCATAGGAAAATGCACACCAGCTGTATGTAGAAATTTCTGCCACTCGAGCTTAATGGAATTGCTAATGGTAAAGCAGTTCTCAAAAAGGGACGTTCCAAATGACTCTCTATAAAGCAAGAATAGGAGGAATAGCAAGCTACGAACTTAGATAAGACAGGAGAGTAAGTACTGCAGTGTCGGAAGGAAGAAGCAGGTGTAAAATGCAGTGACTGGAGTAGTACTTCTAGATTGAAAAATGGCCATGAACTTCCTTCCGGTTTTGGATAAGAACATATATATGTTATATAGAAAAGAAAGAAAATGCCTTTGAAAAATAGAGAAATAGGGCAATTCCTAGTGACTTCAGGACCAAAGAATTGCTCTAAAATTTTTATAGTGCTGGTGATAAAACCTGAGACCTCAGTAGGCTAAGCCATAAATAGAATGTTCTAAAACTATCATGTGTATATGGTGTGTGTACATTCATGTGCTCACCTGTGCATACACATGTGAAGGCTAGAGGTCTATGCTGGGTGTCTGTCTCCATTGTTCTTTATTTACTTTTGGGAGGGGCAGGTTCTCATGGTGAACCTGTTGCTTGCTGTTTTCAGTGGACTGATTAATTGACCAGCAAACCCTCAAGATCCCCTTGTCCTGTGGTTAATGCCTGACTTTTTATACACGTGGATCCTCTAGATGTGAACTTGGGCTATTATGCTTACACAGCCAAAATTTCACCTACTGAGCCTTCTCCCCAGTCCCAACAAATAGAACTTTAAAAAATATTCATGTAACCTACAAGAAAATCAGGAAAATTAACAAAATCATCATGGAAATGATCTTACCAAGGATAGGCAGTTTGAAGGGAAAATTGCAAGATTTAAGATGATTTGCCTAGAACAATACAAGGGATTGAAATAAAAAAGCAATATTAAAGTTTGATACATATCTCTCTGTTATGTGTTTCCCCCAAAGACTGTATTGTAGAAAATGCTACTTGATAAAATCCTCAGGCTCAGTAGCTTGAGCAAGAAGACCATTATTTGAGCATTAATTATGTTGAAAGCAAAAACAGCCAAGATTATAACCCAACAAAAGTAGTTACACCATTCAAGAGTAAGGAAAAAAAGCATTTTTACAAGTTTTACTGGTTAAAGAGATTAATAAAGTAGATACTTCTGGAGAATAGAACTTAGAAGGGAGAAGATACAAGCAGCAGCCACGTGGGACCATTAGAAATAGCGTGTGTGACGTCTCAGGGTCCTTACCACTAATTCTGTCTGTAATGAGATTTTTTTTCTTCAACTAAAAGTACTAGGGAATAGGGGCCATCATTTATCTAGATGAATCCAGTTGTATTTCTGGCACATTGGTGTGACAGCAGCATAAAAAACACTTGGCACCTAGTTCCATCATGAGTGGTTTATGGTAAGATTACAGCGGGAACACTGAAAAATTAGCAAATAGAGAGCTCAGAAAAGGGAACTGATAGGACTAGACAATTAACAGGGAAAACTGAAGGATGACTTAAATATTGCCAGGTGTAGTGGCACACAACTTTAGTCCTAGTACTTGGGAGACAGAGGCTGGTGGATCTCTGAGATTGAGGCCATCCTGGTCTACATAGCGAGTCCACAAGGCCAACCTAGTCTACATAGCAAGTTCTAGCCCACTTCAGGCTATAGGGAAATCCTGTCTCAAAAAGACCAAAAGAGAAACTTATTCATACTACTTGTATGAATAATGAGGCCATTACTATTATAGATCAGATTTTGGTGCCAATATGATTTGATTTCTTTGGGACTTATCAATACTATTACATTTGCAATGAAATTTCTACATAAATGTTGGAAGAAGGTCAAAAACATTGAAACCAAAGCATTTAAGTCCTCTTGTGAAACTGTAAGTAGAAGGAGGAGGTAAGTCTGAAGAGCGATGTGGAGAACCAGTCTGACAGCAACACAACAAAATCCTGGGTCTGGAGAGACGGCTCAGCAGTGAGGAGCTCTGGCAACTCTTCCGGAGTCCTGAATTCCAGTTCTCAGCACCCTCATCATAGTTAACAGTCTGTAACTCCCATTCTAGGATATCTGTCTCTGATGCCTTCTGCCCTCCGTGGGCATAAAACACATACATGTAAAATAAAAATTTAAAAAGTCGTCTGTTCTATGCATATTAGTGAGAATTTGCATTTTGTTTTATATTTTAATATTTTATTATTTTTATTTTGTGTATGAGTGTATTGCTTGCATGTATGTAAGTGCACCTGGGTTGTGCAGTGCCCATGGAGGTCAGAAGAGGGTGTCAGATCCCCTGGAACTGGAGTTAAAGACAATTGGCAGCTGCCATATGGGTGCTGGGAATCAAACCTGGGTCCTCTGGAAGAGCAGCCAGTGTTGTTAACTACTGAACTATCTCTCCAGCTCTTAGAATTTGCACTTTTAAAAATGCTTTTTATTTCTTCTGTTACATGTTTCTGCTGATGTGTAGATCAGAAGTATTTGATTTTTTTTTCAGCAGTACACAAGTTTCAGATTTCGATGGGGTTAATTTTTTTGTTGTGACTTCTAGGTGACTTCACTTTCATAGTTTAGAAGTATTAAATACCTATTTTTACTTTTTTATTCTTTGGAAATTTCATACATGTATGCAATGCATTTTGATCATATCTACCTGCCATCCTCCAACATGTCCCCTTCCCAACTTGATGTCTTTATTTTTAATTTCCCACGGTTATCCAGTTTGTGCTGCCCAGTGTGCGCATATCTATGGCTATTCTCTGGAGCATGGCAACCCACCAGTTGGCAGCAACCCTAAAGAAAAATAACCGTCTCTCCCCTAGCTGCCATCCATTGCCAGTAGCTCCTTGAGTAGCCATGGGGCCTCATGTGCCCCTCCCCCATCCATGTTGGCTTTCTGACTGCCTTGATGATGAAACACAGCTACCGTGAGTTAATGAGTACAACAGCCATGTCATGTCCTGAAAACATCATTTCATGGTACTCCTTCCTGTTTTCTAGTTCTTAGTCTTCTGTCCCCTCGTCCACTATTTTTCCTAACCCTTTTGGGGCCAGCAGGGGGAGCTGTTGGTGCACATGTCCCACCTATTTGGGTTGAGCACTCAGTCACTTGTTCTCAGAATTTTGACCAGTTATCTGAGTCTGCATTAACCTTACTGCCAAAAGAAGCTTCACTGACCAACGCTGAAAGCAATCCAGATCTATGGGTATAAACTAAATCAGTTTTATAAGATCATTTAGCAAAAAAACAAAGACTAGTTCCCTTCTAGGGCCTGTGGAGCTATCTTCAAATCCAATCAGAAACCGATTGGTTCCCCCCAGAATAGTCATGCCACTATTGTACCAGTGGTCACAGCTTGCCTGGCAAGTCAAGTCAGTATTGTAGCATGCAGGGTTTGTGCTGGGGACCACTGATATCTTTTCTTCTCCTCCAGCCTGCATAGCAAACACTGGCCAGCAGGGAGCAAGTTCACTGGTTAGTGCAAGATTTAATTTCTCTATATCCTGCATCCAAAGTATGTAGTATCTTCAGCAATGGGGTCTTACCATAGAATCGGGGGGCAGTCAAGCACAGTGGCAATAGCCATTTTTCTTTTCACAGACCTCTTGGTATCTAATAACTCATATATTTCATGTATTGACCTGTCTTCTGAGAGCAGCATTGTCAATCCATGTGGTTGGATTTATCAATTTTAAGATCAGAAAGCCAAATAATATAAAATAGTTTTTAATATATTTGTTTGTTGATCTGAAAATATGCTATACATAGTAATTTATCTCATCTTAATGCATGTGGCAGTATTTTGTTGGGCCGTTTTATTTTTGTGTGTGTGTTTTAATCAGCTGTTTGAAAAATGCCAGGTAAGTTTGCTGCAAATGTTTATTTCCTAATAATGTAATAATATATAAATGTTATATGTAATATAATATGAAACATATCATAAACCTGAGAACCTTTCTGCAAAAACCCTCAGTGATCTTTTCACAGTACATACAGTACCGGATGTGCAAGCTTTGGGGTTTTGGAACAGTTACCTAAAAACTGTTGAGGGTATGTGAATTTTTTTCTTTAATCTGAGAATGATTATTTCAACATACTTCTTAGAGTTTTGCTTCTTGCCATTAATAAGACTTAAAGGTTACCTATATTTACAAAGGAAACATTTAAAATAAACATGTTTATATGACTGAGTTGGAAGTAACGAGAAAAGGTTACCAAGTAAGTTCATATTTTATGTGCTTTCCTCTCCGTAATCTGAGGTGAAAAGCATGTCCCTTAAAGAACTCAAGTATGGATGAGCAGTCTTAATAATTGTTTTTTTCCATTTAAAGTCAAACTGAATTTTTTATCTACTCTATCCACTGTGCCATTGATATTTATTAATGAGTATTAATTATGTAAAATATTTCTATTTTGCCAAAAAAGAAAATCATAACTTTCAGTTGAAATTTTCTTTACATGTTTAGTTTACTGTTTGGTTTTTCTCTGCATTTTTAAACTATCATATTAATGGTTCATTAGAGGTGGTCAAATATGTAATGAGACTCAATTTTAGGCCCACTTTGAGATTCATTTATTGAATTTACCGTTTACCACATTTTGTGTTCTAGTTTGCCTCCAATGAAAGTGGGATCTGTTACGTTCAGTCTTCTCAGTAGCTGGAAAGAGTCTATGCAGATAGCACTATGTAGCATGGCTTTAATTTCTGTTCTCTTATATTGGTACCTTTTTCAGATGGTAAATCTGCAACAACAATGGAAGACATCCTTGTTTTTGCAACTGGTTGTAGCTCCATTCCACCTGCTGGATTTAAACCCTCTCCTTCAATTGAATGTCTGCATATGGACTTTCCTGTTGGAAACAAATGTAATAACTGTTTAGCTCTTCCAATCACAAATACTTACAAAGAATTTCAAGAAAATATGGATTTTGCCATAAGAGACACTCTAAGACTAGAAAAGGAAGAAAGTTCTCATTACATTGGACACTAATTCTTCTAATGAAGAAACGATTCTTTTAAAGCTGCTATTGATAACTTTTGTTTCTATTAATCATAACTTTTGAAATTACCAACTTCTGGGCCCAATAAAGCTTATTATTTGAATAAGGATCGTTTTGGCTGTTTAAACAATAGAAAAAGATTGGTTCTGGCATTCTAGTCAAATTTGTTGATGTCTTTCAATTTTTATAACTATGCATGCTTCATATAATTATTTTTAGAATGATCGTGCAGACCTTATTCAGGTTTGTTACATAAGGAACATACATAAGGGGGGAAAAAACCTGTTGAATCACTATTTTTATAAACTAAAATTGCCGGTAGTATACCACAGTTTTATCTATTTTTATGCAGATTTCAAATTTTCCTATTTTAAAGCATTAAATAGAAAAGCTAATGGGTTTACTTTATATGTTTCTAGGATGTTACTAAGTTTTTTTTTTACAGTTTTTATAGTAAAATGACCAATACTACAGTTAGATAATGGTAATTGGAAATAACTGTATAAAAAGCAGAATTTGACATTTAACTCTGGAATATGTTGACACTCAGTAGGCTTAAAAACAATGCTGAGGTGTTTCAAACACAGTTAAAAATCCCTAAGAAAACGCACATTGTTTAAAACCTTGGGCAGTCAATATATCTCATCTGTTAGCCATTTGAAGTGTCTGAGTTGTCATATGGCAATTCGACTGTTAAAAATGTATGGTCTATCAAAGCTTTTATTAATAGATAACCTGCAACTGAAGCATTCTCTACTTACTTTCTTTGCTTTCAAAAGTTATGTTTTCTATAAGCAGAAGTAAAAAAAAAAAAAAAAAAAGTCAAATTTTACCATATAGAGAAAAGTGCAGTTTTTTTGTATATTCTATATAAATTATTTATTTTTAAAATTTGTGTTGTTTTGAGACAGGGTCTCACTCTGTAGCCCTAGTTCTAAATTTGCAATCCTCCCACCTTAGTCTCCTAAATGCTGGAGTTTTGATGTATACCAACATGCCTAGCAATTATTTTTTTTTTAACTACATGACTGCTACTAAAAGTAATAAATTATGTAATAGAGTTCTTTCAAGATAGATAGTCTGTGGTTGTGATGGCACACACCTGTAATCCCAGCACTTGGGCGGCTGAGGCAGGAGGATCAGGAGTTAGATAGCAAGTTTAAGGGGCTAGAGAAGTGGCTGAGCAGTTAAGAGCACTGGCTGCTTTTGCAGAGGACTTGGGTTCAATTACCAGCACCCATATAGCAGCTAACAACCATCTATAACTCTTAGTTCCAAGGGAATCCCATGCTCACGTCTGACGTCCAAAGACATTGCACCACATGGGTGCGCTTACACACATACAGGCAGTGCACTCATAGATATAAACTAATTAATAAAAGTATTTAAAATAAATAAGTTTAAGGCCATCCTGGGCTGTATGAGACTCTCAAAACACACACAAAAAGCCCACCACAAAAAGATACATAGACCCAAAATGATGTCTTCATATCTGCAATCTTAAAATTGGAAGTCTAGTGTCCGTAATTTGTTATATACATAAGAAGAGAGAGCCCCCGTTTTCCATTAAAAGTAAAACACGATAGGTAAATCATTGAGTGTTTAAAATCTCGACAACATTTTTCTTGACACACAAAGCAGGTAGCATCTATTGGTCACCACCTCTTACTTTCCAAGAAACATCCTTAAATACATAATGTGTTTCTTAATACCAAAGGGAAACTCCAATGTAATCCTAGTGTAAATTTCCTTGTTACCTCATCATTTTTCAAGTTGTTCTTAATAACAGACCTAATAAACTTTTAAGTATTTAACTTTAAGCACTTCTTTGTCTCTTGTTAAATACTATTAGATGATCAAAAGTAATTATTGTATTATCAAATAGTTTAATATTTTTATCTCAAACTACCTATTTCTTACAAAGTTTTATAAGCCATTAAATCGGTTTAACCTCAAAATGCTTTTACTCTTTTTTTTTTTTTTTTTTTTTTTTTTTTTTGTCTTTTGGAGACAAGGTCTCCCTGTAGCCCCAGCTGGCCTGGAACTCACAGAGATCCACCAGCCTCTCCCTCCCAAGTACTGGGATTAAAGGAGTGCACCACCATGCAACAAAATGCTATTCTTTAAATTGTCACTTCAGTTAAATTTTCTTAAAATAGCAGTTGATTCTGATATACCACTCACAATATTGTTGGGTTGGGGCTGTAGAACTAAATGCTAAAAATAGTATTTCAAAATGTCTCTTACTACATTTTACATAGTATGGTAAGACGGTATAAATAATAATTTAGATATTTATCTCTTAAAGTGGAACATACACTTTGGAGAATGTTTTCTTGTTGAAGGTTGTTATGATCTTTAGGTTCATCTTTACAGTTAAGGCGTATCAGAAACATCATATTTTCTGCAGTGTTATTACATCAGGTGGTTATAAAAGTATTTACTGTTTTATGACTCAGTTCTTACATAGGAATTTAAACAGGAACTGTGCTATAATCTTTGTGTGTAATTTTATTTTTTAAATGTTTCTTTTATCTAAATGCCATATATTTTAAGCTTATTTCTCTTGCCCAGCATTGAGAGACAACATAAATTGAATAATTATCTAGTGTTTTATAATTTTGGGTAGTTTTATATTCACTATTTTAAGACAGTTTTCAATTTTTTTTAGTAAATTTATCTTAAGGCCTCTATTACAAGATTATTCTTATAGCCATTTATTTTACTGTTATTTAAGGATTCGTTAAAATATCAGAAAATATGATTTTATACTTTTTAATAGTTTCAAAATTATAAAGGAACAGTTTTGTGTTTGGGTTAAGTAAAAAGCTTGTATTTGAGTACTAACATGGTTTCTGTTTCGTGCATTTATGTTTTTCCCCTAATCATATGGAAGTTACTGGAACGTCTGCATTCAATGTTAAAATGCTAAATAAAGTAGTGAATAATGGTAAGTTTTCTCTGGTGACTTTTGACCTCCACATTCAGTTATGAGACAATAATCAGAACTAGACTCAATATTTACAAACATAGTTCTTTTATATAGGTAAGTGTTGTTAACTTTCTAACAAGCCTTTAAACTAGTTGTTATGCTCCAAATACTGCAATACAAAACATTTAATGAATTACTAGACTGTATTGTCTGAAATTTAGAAAGTTTTGTGTTAAGAGCCCAATTAAAAAAAATAATTAATGTATATGCGTATATTGCCTGCATGTATGTATATAAGTGCACCTGTGTCATGCAAACCCTTGGAGGTCAGAAAATGGCATCAGATTCCCCTGGAACTGGTTGTTAACCACTTTGGTGCTAGGAATCGAACCTGTGTCCTCTGGAAGAGTAGTCAACCACTGAACCAATTCTCCAGCCCCCAAGAGCCCAATTTTTAAATCTGATTTTGGCCATTTTCCAATTTTCAGATACACTTTAATACCTACCTAACGCTAGATGTTAATACTAGGTGATAGTTGATAAGTCATTCTATTTAAGATGTAATCAAAAAGGATAATGCCTGCCTAGCTAGCATTCTTGAAGCCTTAGGTTCTGTCCAGAGGACCACCACCACCCCAAAAAAGCATGAAATGTAAAAATTTACAAAATGGGAAGTGCTTATATAAACATATAAACTAAATTGTGTAACTTGTTGGGATCTAACAAGGTTGTGATTCTTTTTTAATGTACAGTTCTCATTTCTCCTTTTTATTAGCTTATATTAATTGTACAAAACAATGTATATTCTGACATTTTCACACATGGCTTACATGTATATAATGAACTTGCCTATATATATATATATATTTACTCTTCCTCATTACCTCATACTTCTCCACTCTATTTCCACTGGTCCTTCCCCAGGTAGTCCACTTGCAAAGTTAATAGTCTGATTAAACTAGGTAAATTCCAAGATCCTTTAGTCTCCACATTTGAGTGCTCTTGTGTTAACTGACACCCAGGAGCCTCTCAAGAAGTGAACTGTTCTGAGGTGTTCTGTGATAAAACTATCCCTTAATGTAGTTAAATTATTTAAGGCAAAAATATAAGTGGCTACAGTAAATTAATTAGCCATAATTATGAAGCCATAATTTTTATTCCGATTCTAGTAGTAAGTACCTTGGTCTCAGCCCTGCAAGGACTGTTTGTATAATACTACTGTTCTTTTGTGGGGTATATTTTTCTGTAAATCTCATACCCACACTATACATTATTGGTCATATGTGTGTGTGCACGCGCGCGCACACGCACATACACACTATAAATGCTAGCACATCTTGGTATTTTATGTAAAATATGATTCAGCCTTGGAAGGAGTTTGTGATGGAGCTAAAATGATTAAATGGCGGCTTTGTGTTTAAAAATAGAAGTGCTCAGGTGAGTGAGATTGAATTTTCATGTATCAGAAAGCGGAAAAGCCATGTTTGAAACTGGAATCCAGTACTTGTCCTAAGGCAAGAGCTGTTTGTTACTTTCTTTTAATTATAACACATCTAGATCATTGAAGATTCCTTCAAAATAATAATAACGCTGAAAAGTGTAAATATTTTTATTTTATGTGTATGAGTGTATTGTCTGCGTGTATGTAAGTGCACGTTTCATACAGTGCCTTTGGAGGTGAGAAGGTGTCAGATCCACTGTAGCTGGAGTTATGGACAGTTGTTAGCGGCCATGTGGATGCTGGGAATTGAACCCCTGTCCTCTTCAAGAGCTGCCAGTGCTCTTTAACCACTGAGCCATCTCTCCAGCCCCCCGTTAATTTCATAAAGAATGTCAGCTATAAAGTGAGCGATGACAGCATCTTCTAATGGAGAATAAGTTCTATGCTATGGTATTTTTTCCCTGATTTTATAGCCTATTGTGAATTTTGTAAGAATAAAATAAACCTTATTTTTGAAATAATGTCTTTATTATAAATCTTGATTTTAAAAAAACGTTAGAATTACAATTCGATTTCTATACCTTTGAAAGTCAAATTTTTGAGGCTGTGTCTGATTTTCATTTTAGGATCCGGTGTAGCATCAATATTCAACAGTGAACCTCATTGAACATATGCGAAATAAGTCGTCATTGTGTCCGTTTTCGATATCTAATAATATTCTATTATAAATGGTCAATATGGGTTTATTTTGCTATCAGGGCTCTACATCTGACCACCGGCTTCAGTATCCAACTCCCGCCCCTAAACCTTCTTCCTGGTAGGGAAGTCGCCCCTGTGCTCCCCCTGCTTCCGTCCCAGGAAAAGAAACTCGGGGCGGGGCTGTGACAGTCGGGAAAACGCGGCTGCTTCCGGTACCCTGCAAAGCTGCGTGCTGCCACGACCCAGTGCGGTGTAGACCGGCCAACGGGGCGGGCCTCGACTTCAGCTCCGCGTGCTCCCGCCGCGAACCGAGGCCTGAATCGGACGGAAAGCCTGCAGCACCTGAGTCGCCCGCCCGCGAGCTCTGCCTGGCACCCGGGGTCAGAACGGAACGCGGAGGGCGGTGGTTCCGCTCCCAGGCGCCTCTTGTCCCCGCCCCATCAGCGCTGCTTCCGGGGCGGAAGGCGAGACACGTCATCTTCGGGTTCCCACCGCCAGCTGGGCAGTGGATGGTGGGAAGCAAGATGGCGGCCACCGCCAGCATTCGGGAGAGGCAGACAGGTACCGGCTGGTCTACGTCCGTGCCGGGGCCGCGCCGCCTCCGCCGCCCGCAGGGTTGCGGTGCGCAGCTCGGGGTCGGACGTGTGGTTCCCGGAGCGCCGGTCGTTGCCCTCGGTCTGGTGGAGGGTGCCGGGAGCCGGGGGCGAGGGTGGGAGGGCTGCTGTGCCTCCGCTGTCAGCTAACGGTTCTCGGGGCTGGTTCTGTGCGCATTTCAGGCCTTGATATGGCTTCTTTCAGCTTTAATGTTCAAAAAACCCCCGCCACACAGTTGGGAAGCGAAGCTTTCTAGAGCAGCTGTATGCCCCTCTGGACCTGTGCCTTGGGGGACCCGAAGAAAAATGTCAAGTGACTTCCTCCTTCACCTCGCTGAAGGGATTGGAAAATGGCAAAACCCAGTGATTGACAGCGCTCCCATTTCGGTTGTTCACACATTGGTATCTTAAAGTAGAATAGTGGCTTTAGTTTCGCTAGAGGATATTTATACAGCCTCCATTTATTCAGCGAAATGTAAAGATACATTTTTTCCCTTGACTTCTGATGGGCTTCCCCCCCTCCCCGACTGAGATATTGTTTTTGCTCTAGTCTTTGTAAACGACTCATAATAACTTGATTTATACATATTATTCCCAAATTAATGGTTCATACCTGTTAGCTACTTGTCTTGAATGTTGTAAAACTTAATTCCAAAGAGAATAGAAATAGACCATAAGCCATGTAGAAAGTTTATTCTTGAGTTTCTGTTGAAATTACGCTCTTTTGTGTGAGAATTAGTTACAATCAGCTTAATATACTGGGAGACTTTGAGCTGTGCCTGATTTCCTCCCTTTTCTTCACGGAAATAAGTTTGATAGGCTTCAGTGTAGTAATGACACACACAGCATGCTAAATTGTTTTGCATTTATCAGGAGGTAATTAGGTAAAAACCTATCAGATGAAGTAAAACAAGTTAAATGTGGGAAAGCTCAAATAAGATTTGGGAAATACTTGAAATTCATTTTATTTGTAAGCTAATAGAAGCATCTCTTGTCACTTTGGTTCCAAATGGTTTGACTAAGCTAAATGAATTACATCATACTACCCATTAAAGTAGCTTGTCAGTGGAACTGTACTGATACAGGGGAGGTTTTCAAAGTCAGTTGTATAGGATAATACATTTTTATATTCAGAAACTGTAAGACATTAAAATCTAATATTCTACTTTGCATGTCAGCGGAAGTATAAACATTATAGTAAGATTTTACATTATAGCTTGTGCTACATCAGGTATCCATTAAATTAGTAACGTAACTGGTTTGCGTCTTATTTTCAAAGGAAAATAAATCCCTTTGTGTGTGTTAGAGCAGTAGAAGGAAACATTTCAGTGATTTTCATTCAGAGTGTTTGAGAATGACAGTCCTCAAATATTCTAGGTACAAGATGCTTTGCTAGAAAATAATTTGCAGCCAGTTTGGATAGATGATAACAGTTAATTCATTAAACACTTGTTATTGCCAGTTGTTGTTTTAGGTGGTTTATGTTATTATCTTCATTTTACAGATGAGGAAACTGAGGTACAAAGATGTTAACTAGCATACCTGTTTCTTGCTTTGTCTTGCTGTATTTATCATCTCAAATGCCACCTTTGTAAAAGGTTTGTGGATCGCTTCCTTCTCTTCCCTTACGTTTGGTTCAACAATCAGAGTAAGGTGCTTCATCCTCTGTTAACCTCTGCAGGTTTCTGCTCATGTCCCTTGTTTCTCAGTGGTGCAGAGCCCTTATCAACTGCTTTCTCTCCCGCAGTGATCTCCTCTAGCCTTGTAGCTGTAAAGATTATATATGCTGCTGATTCCCAGGTTTACATTGCTAGCGTAGACCTCTGCTCTGATACCAATTAATGTAAATTTCATTCTTACAGTTTCTCAGGTAAAAAAGAAAATCATGTAATTTTTTACTTTTCTTTTTTATAACTCAATTCAGATTTGTCAGTAAATCATGTCAGTGCCACGCTAAAACTATATCCCTGCTTCTTCTATCTCCTAATCACAGTCCACCTTGGATTTCTGTGATAGCTTTCTATTTGTGCTGTTTGGTTTTACAACTTTGTCTTTCATTCTGTTACAGACGGCATCCAAACCAAACATGTCATACATTTACCTAGTAGTTTCTCATTTTAACTATGGTAAAAGGAAAGTGACCTCCAAATCCATGTAGGAATTAATTAGCCTGCTTAGCCTTCTCACCTTGCTATTACTATCCCTTCCTGAGCATACACCTGAAGTGTCCCACATCCAGCTTTTGTGTTTGTTTCCTCTTCCCAGAATCTTCTTCCAGTGGAAACTCAGACGGCTCACTCCCTCACTTCCTAAGTCTTTACTCAAATGTGTGTTTCTCAGGCCTTCCTAGTCACTATTTAAAATTATGTGCCACCTCCCCCTCCCCCTTTCCCTGTCCCTTTTCTTCACAGCACTTACCATGATCTCACACATCATATGCCCTACTTATTTTGTAAAGGACCTTTGTCCCTCAAGTACAATGAAATCTGCTTGAGGACAGGTAATTTTTATTCAGTCTGTTTTATTCCATGCAATCCCTGTAGTTAGGTCAGTATCTGGTACATGGTAAGTACTCAGTAAACATTTGTTGAATGAGCAGTAACCGTGAATGACTATTTATTTACTCAGTGAATGAGTGAAGAAAATAATTCTGGGTAAGGATGAAACTGTGTTAACCAAGTGTAAGAATATGAGTAATATGTTTAGAACCAATAAAGAAAAATTGTCATTTCCATTCAAAGCAGCTACTCAAGCATTGGTTGATCTCTGATAGAATCGCGTTATCAGCGACTCAAGAATTGGCTGATCTCTGATGATAGAATCACGTTCTTTATCAATTCTTAAACATCACATCGGCCTTGTTCTTCATTAACAAATGTGCTGCGTCAATATATCTTTGAACAAGTTAGCCAAGGCTCAGCGTTGAAGCCGAGAAAAATGTGTGATCATCTGCTGGTCCTGGCCTCTCTTGATTAAAATGTAACTGCAGAACGTCAGGCGTTAGCTCACAGGCAGCCCCGGCCACAGTTCTTCCAGGTTGTCAGGTGTTGGGAGTCTGAACAGCTCTCCTACAAACAAGCTTTTCTCTTCTGGGGGCTCTGAGTACCAGAACGGTGTCTTGTGCCTGGAGGTGGGAAAGCAGCATTGCCAAAAGCACAGTAGGAGAGTTAATCCAGGAGCACTCAGTTGATGTTCTTTTGTGTAGACTCTCAAATAGCGCTGTATCGTCTGTGGCTCTATGAAGTCGGCATAGATTATTGGTAATGGCTATTACTGGCTACACAGTAGGTACCAACATTTTTTTTTTTTTTTTTTTTTTTTTTTTTTTTTTTGGTCTTTTTGAGACAGGGTCTCCCTGTAGCCCCAGCTGTCCTGGAACTCACTTTGTAGACCAGGCTGGCCTTGAACTCACAGAGATCTGCCTGTCTCTGCCTCCTGAGTTCATAGCTGCCAGGTGTGTGCCACCATGCCTGGCCTACATTTTCATTTTTATTTGCTAATATGAGGGACTTGAGCATCCAAGGAATGTGGGTATCTAAAGAGGCTCTACAACCAACGTGGAGATGCGGGGGTGACTGATGCTAAGTGCAGGTTCTTGTGATGGTGTGGCAGCACTCTGTCTAACCTACCTTGACCTGTAAGTACTTGAAGATTTTCTAGTGAATGAATGTGCTATGGGGTAATAGTCATGTTATTTTAATATTTTTTAGTTGTGTAGTAAGAGTGTGGAGTGTAGAATTTTCTGTATTACCCAACATCCAAATGCTTTTAAAAGTCAGCAAAGTCGTTTTTAAAGTAGCTAGGTTTTTTTGTTTGTTTGGTTGGTTTTTTTTAATGTGTATGAGTGTGTTGCCTGCATGTATGTGAGTGCACCGTGTCATGCAATGCCGCGGAGGTCAGAAGAGGGCTTCGGAGTTCCCTGGAACTGGAGTTAAGGACGGTTCATAGCTGCCATGTGGGTGCTGGGAATCGAACCCGGGTCCTCTGGATGAGCAGTCAGTGCCCTTAACCACTGAACCATCTCTCCAGCCCTGGTAGCTAGTTTTAAATCACCTGTGTTGTTCCCATGAATGTTTGACCATCTCAATATCAAGTAGAAATAACATATTAGGACTGGGCACGTGACTCAATCGAGTGCTTGCCTAGCATCTAAGAAGTTATGGTTTCAATCCCCAGCCCTGTATGTAAACTGGATGTGGTGGTAGGTGCCTGTCTATGATCCTAGCACTTCAATAGTAGAGGCAGAAAGATCAGTAGTTTAAGTCATCCTCAGCCACACATCGAGTTTGAGGCCAGACTGGGCTTTATGAAACTCTGTCCCCAAAACGCCACACACAGAAAAAGAAGCAGCACCAGCCTAGTAAGAGGTTTTCCCTTTCCTTAGAAACCGTTTTCATGTCTTGCAGTGCATGAATTACCTGGAGTTATCAGTTATCTGCTACTTATGACAAAGTCTCATTTTTTTCCCAGGACTATAAAATTTTAAGTCATACTTTGAAGAAAAAAAATTTTTTTAATGTGTTTGAGTATATTGCCTGCATGTGTGTGAGTGCACCTATGTCGTTCAGTGCCGGCAGAGGTCAGAAGGGGGCTTTGGATTCTCCTGGAACTGGAGTTCCAGATGATTATTAGCTGACATGTGGGTGCTGGGAATTGAACATGACATCTAGGACAGGTGTCTCTTTTAAAAAAGCTCTCAAACAGGTAACAGCTGTTGATGGGATGATCTGACAGGGTCTGACTCCTAGTTTTAAATATCCAGTCATATTATTAGTCAATTTTGTTGGGATTCATTTATGCATTTTGTTTATAGGTAGGAAATGAAAAACATGGAGGAAAAACAAATCTTAAAAAAGGTGATAATATTTTAACTTTTTTTATTTTCAGTGGCTTTGAAACGTATGTTGAATTTCAATGTGCCTCATGTTAAGAACAGCACTGGAGAACCGGTGTGGAAGGTAAGAGCTGGTTTTAATGGGAACTGTTGCCTTCTTCTCAACTCTTAATGCTGCTTATTGGTAGAAGCTTCTTAATACTAAACTAGTCATGCATTTCAGTTCGAATTTATGAACATTCTATTTGTATTTATTATCCCCTAAACAATGCAAGTGTTGACATGGTGTTTGAGTTATACAGAAGGATGTTGTAGATTCTAAAATGAGTATCTGATTTACCTAAGATACTTAAATTCCTAAGTTTTCTTCACAGCATTGGAACTTGTTGGTTAAATTTTTATCTCATTTTTACGTGTTCTTCAAAAGGATAAATACAAACTAGGAAAAAATAAGGAAAGTATGAATTTGCTTTGTTTAAAGTTCTTTCTCAAAAGTTTAAGGATTTTATGGTCTTAAATTTAGAGCACTTTATTAAAAATTAAAGATTTTATTACTGTAAGACATTTAGGTAAATAGTGATGGAAAATATTAAACTGAGCATGGCTAAGAATTCATTATAATGATTTATTAAAACAAAATTTACTGCAACATTATCTTAATATGGGTTCTCTTGGTTTTTAGTTGATAACAATGTTTTAAAAAACACATGTTTTTAAGGTACTCATTTATGACAGATTTGGCCAAGATATAATCTCTCCCCTACTATCTGTGAAGGAGCTGAGAGACATGGGAATCACTCTGCATCTGTGAGTTTTATTTCTAATAATGGCATTTATTTTCAAATACATTAACCAAAAGTCAGAATTTTAAAGATCATTTATAGAGAAAATGAATGTTAGGCTACAGACCTGTGCACTGTAGAGCATTCCCTCCCTTCCCCCATATCTTCTTTTACTTAACCCTTATTTCTAAAGTTAAAAATAGTCTCACTCTGAGCCTATACAATTTCAGAATCTAAATACTCTCTCACATCTTTTCCTATAGACTTGGTTGATCTTCTTTGAAGAAAAATAACTGATACTCTTAGACATCTTCCACCTCTAAAAGGATTTTGTCTCTCTAATTTAAGTATATTTTTAAAGTATGTAAATTAATTTATTATGAACATGACAATTTTATGAATTAATGATGTAATGAGCATTAACTCATGGCTACCTGTTTCATCCTCTGGACTCCTACACTTGTGTTCTCTGTTGTGTTTGATAATAAACAAACGCCATCCTTTGTAGACATCCTAGATAGAACATTCAGAGAGGAACTGATTGCCTAAGTGATGCTAGTCGTTTGTTCTACGGGTCCGCTTTCCTAGTGTTCTTACATTTTGTTCACAGTGTTAGAATCGGAGTCATTCCATGGTATTATATTGAATTGAAATGTACTCTTACTGGGAGGATTATTTTAGATTATCGGTCAGTACCATACCAGAATTTGATCAACTTATAAGTATTGCCTAAAATTAATAGACTATTATGTTGCATTGAGTCTCCTTTTAAATTATGTGTGTCTGTGTGTGAGCATGTGCCCCGTGGAGGTAGGAGGACATCTTGTTGGCGTCCTCGCTCTTTCCACCACGTGATCCTCAGTGACAGAGCTCCAGGCTTGCTAACAAATGCCTTTACTACTGAGCCATCTTCACAGCCCCAGCTCTACTTTTCGGTGGTGGAGATGGTGGTGGTAGGGCTGTTGTTACTAGGGATTACTGCTAGGGCCTTGCTCCGATGGGCAGTCTGATACTGTGCTATACCCCCAAGACCAACTGCATGAATTCCAAATAAACTTTGCTCTTTTTTTTGCATCGTTATAATTAGAATGCATATTATAGTTGATATCATGTCATAGTTGATAGCCTTTTCCCCAATAATATACAAGATTTTTTTAAAGATTGTAACTATCTTAGATTTAACTACTTGACAGTTTTTTCCTTTCCCTTTATGTTAGATTTTTGTAACATAAAAAATTTATTTTATTTATTTATTTATTTTTTTTTTTGTCTTTTTGAGGTTGTACAGGACTTATATAACCTGAGCTAGTCTGGAAATGACTATGTAGACGAGGCTGGCCCTGAACTCACCCAGCCTGCCTCATCTTTTCTTTTCTTCCAATCTTTTTGAGACAGGGTCTCCCTGTAGCCCCAGCTGTCCTGGGACTCACTATGTAGACCAGGCTGGCCTTGAACTCACAGAGATCCGCCTGCCTCTGCCTCCCGAGTGCTGAGATTAAAGGCGTGTGCCACCACGCCCGGTTTATTTTTAATTATGTGTTTTTGTGTGTATCTGTGTGGGGTATGTGCATGTGGTGCCCAAGGCAGCCATAAGGGCCTCAGATCCCCTGGAGCTGGAGTTACAGGTGATTGTGAGCTGCCAGACTTGAGTGCTGGGAAGCAGACTTGGGTCCTCTGCGATAGCAGTGCCTGTCCCTACCTGCTAAACCATCTCCCCAGCCCTACTTTTATATAGATTTGAAACACTAATTTGTTTGTGATAATGTACTAAGTCTTATATGTTTAAGTGAAGCTTAGCTTAATGCTATCCTTAGATTAGTATGATATTTTAACATGTGTAGTTTACCACTGATACTAAACTCAGTCTTTAACTTCTTTATGTTACTAGTGACCAGACCGAAGTTCAGAAAGTGTGATTGTAATACAACTCAACAACCAGCTGATAATGGAGCTCTGGCCAGACTTCTTGACCGCTAACTTTGTGCTGTTTGTCTCATGAGCGATAACGGCTCAGTAGCAGTGACTGACAGAAATGAGATCTAGCTCAGTACTGGTTTAAGGGCAGCAGGACAGTCTGCCAGGTTGAGAGTAGAGGAAGAGCTGTTGTCACCAGATGTGGGCAGGCTCTCTGCTCCGTGGTGGCTTCCTGTCAGCCTGGCTTCTACTCATTCTTCTCTATTTGCTAAAAAAAACAAAACCCACTTCATCATGCCCTGCAACTAGTTCAGACTGATTTGTAGGAAGTAATAGCCTCAACCTTCTAGAATTTGAATGGTGCTGTAGCTCTTGGACAGTTGGACAGCCAGTGGAAAAAAGAAAACAGCCATGGCTGCCGTCACATTTCCTTATTGTTAGCAGCACTCAGACAGACAGATCCTCTGGCAGCGTGAGCCTCTTGTACTCTTCTTGACTGTGGAACGGAAGACAACAGTCTAGAACTAGGATGCTAGTCATAGCTCCCAACATACACATTGTAACTTAAATGTTACAATGAAGAATAAATATGACATCGAGATCTTTGAAAACATTCCCTAAATTATAAAGAGAAAACTCTAGTGTGTCCTCTTTTCTAAATTAATTCTTTGAGAATATCATATATTGTATTTTGATCATCTTTACCTCCCCTCCACCAGCTCCTCCCATCTCTAAGCTCCCCTTCCCACCCAGCTTTGTGTCCTTTTTTCCTTTTAAGCCCATTGAACTCAGTTTGTGCTGCCCATATACTCTTGCATATGTGGCCATCCACTGGAGTCTGGTCACCCTACCAGGGGCCACACCTTTAAAGAAACCCGACTCTTCCTCTCCCACCAACTCTCAGTTGCCAGTAGCTCCTCAGCTGTGGGTGGGACATTGTGCCCTCCTCCTCTCTCCATGCTGGAATTGCCTGGCTTGAACTTGCACAAGTTTTGTGTGTGCTGTCACAACTGCTGTGAGTTCATAGTCATTCCCCACCTTTGGCTCTTAAAGTCTTTCCTCTTCATCCTCCACAGTGATCCCAGAGTGTTGGGAGGAGAGGGTAGGATATAGGCATCTCATTTAGGGCTTTGTATTCTGCAGTCTCTTATTCTCTGTACCTTGACCAGTTGTGGGTCTGTTAATCTCCATCATCTGCCAAAAGAAGCTTCTCCATGAGGGTTGAAAGATACACTTACCTATGGTTATAACAAGTCCTTAGGAGTTGGCTTAACTCTGTATCCATTTAGCAGAATGATGGTAGTAGGAGTTCCCCTATGTCATACAGCCTGTCTAGCCACAAGTTGTTAGCCTTAATAACAGTGGTATGTATGGGTTTCATCTTATGCAGTGGGCTTTAGATCCAAGCAGAAAGCAGTTGGTTAGTCCCATGATGTTCATGCCACGACTGCACTCACGGGCATGCCGTGCTGGGCTGCTCCTAATTGTAGATGGGTGATTACTTTTCTCTTCTGGTAGCTTGCATAGCACCTCCCAGCACTACGAAAGCTAGCAAGTATGGATAAAGCTTCAAAGTCGATACAAGCTTGATTTCTCCACATTCCGTGATATAAGTATGTGGTCTACTCAGCCATAGAGACTTAAGTTCTGCAGGGTAGCCAACAGCATTGGCATAAGCCTATAATTTTTGGAGGACTGTGGGACCTCACTGGCTAAGAGCTCCAAAAGAAGCGACCTCTTCTGGCGCCAGACTTTTTATTTGTTAGCCTGTGGTGTCTACTAGAGTCACTGTCATCCCATCTACAGAGTTGCTCCATTTAAACTCTTTATATATGTGTTTGTACATATTTCAGGGAGTTTCTGCAGTAGTACTTTATATAACTTTCAACGGGTCTGTAATGTTAATGGTCCTTAGATGATCTCTTGTGAAGCATCAGATTCACAAAAACAACTAGGGGTTCAGGATATAGCTCAGTGGTCAAATGTGTACATATATAATGTCCTGGTTTCAGTCCATAACATCTTGTAGAAAATAAACAAGCAAACAAAAATGGATTAAGTCTTTAAGCTCTAAGAGAGTACTCTTTTCATTTTTACCAGGTGCTTGTTTTCATGCATGGTTAAGTTTTACACTGTGTCCAAAGACTCCAGCTGCTCTTTTCCTAGGAGAGCTACAGATTCCTCCAGTCTTTCCCCGTATTTCTACAAAACTAAGATGTGAAATAGAAGAAAAGAAAACTAAAAAGAAATGACCTTACCAGTGGATACTACTAATATCAGCTTGTGGAATTTTTTAAGGAAAAAGGCTGGGTTAACTGGTTCATAGCAGCAAGAGTTTAAGAGCACTGGTCACTGAGCTGATGAGTTCCTAGTTTGAGAAATACGGTTTAAAACTATCTTTTAAATAAGTAAGAAAAAAACTTTTTTCTTCTTTATGTGTTTTAGGCTTTTACACTCTGACCGAGACCCTATTCCAGATGTTCCTGCAGTGTACTTTGTAATGCCAACTGAAGAAAATATCGACAGAATGTGCCAGGTAATATGAGTTCTTATTTTATCTAACCCTTGAAAGAATCAAAACAAACTTTAAAAAGAAATATATCTTAAATGCTCATTATAGAGAATCATAAATTCATTTACCAGCTTCCACTTTGATTTTTTAAAAACTATTTTATTTAAGCCAGGTGTGGTAGCACATGCCTTTAATCCCAGCACTGGGGAGACAGAGGCAGGCAGATCACTTGTGAGATTGAGGCCAGTCTGGTCTATATAGCAAGGTCCAGGCCAGCTCTGGCTACAGGGAGACACTGTCTTAAAAAGGAAAAAAAAGAAAAGAAAGAAAAAACATGATTTGATTTTATCTGTGTGAGTGTAGTGCCTGCGTGTATGTAAGTGCAATGCCTGCAGAGGTCAGAGGAAGGTGTCGTATTCTCTGGAACTGGAGTTGTAGACGGTTGATAGCCACCATGTGGGTGCTGGGAACTGAACCCAGATCCTCTTCAAGAGAAGTTTGTGTTCTTAACTACTGAGCCATCTCTTCTGCCCCTGAATTTTTTTTTTTTTTCTTCCTGGTCTTTTTGAGGCAGGGTCTCCGTGTAACCCCAACTAGCATGGAACTTGCTATGTAGACCTGGCTGGCCTCAGTCTCACAGAGATCCACCTGCCTCTTTGATCTTTTGATATTACCTTTGAATTTTAAATAGGATGAAAAGTTGTGCACTTTCCAGTCGTGAAAGCAGCATATCAGTAAATCCTGAGTCTGGCTTTGCAGAAGGTCCTGGGAGGGACGTGTTGGAGTTTGCCTCTAATCCCAGCTAGCAGGGCTGTTGCAAGAGAATTGCTTGTTCAAGACTAGCCCAGGCTATGTGGCAGATTTGAGTTCCAACTGTGCTTCATAGTGGCACAAAAATTTGACAACAGAAAACCCAACTGTGTTAGCTTTAAATCTAGAGTTTGAGTTTTTACATAGTAGGACAGGCAATAGGCAGTGGGTGGTTAGGAGGACCACTGCAGTCATCTGAACAGGCAGGCTCCTTTTATCTCTTTGAGCCACCATCTTGGTCTGTTCATTGTATTTTCCTGTTGCTGAGATAAAAACAACTCAAGGAAGGAAACACTTACTTTGGCTGATAGTTTAAGGCTGTAGCCCCAAGGCGGGGAAGTCACAGCGGCAGAAACGTCACATTTGTCTACTGTCACAGGAGAGCAGTAAATGCTTGTGCTCAGCCAGCTTTTTGTACCGCCCACAATGAAAGCCCAGGGAATGGAGTCCCCACAGTAGGTGGGTCTTCCAGTTGTCAGCCTAGTCAAGAAAATTCCCCATAGACGTGCCCAGAGGCCCGTCTCCCAGGTGATCTTAGATCTCAAGTTGACAGTTGGGATTAACCATCACATTCATGGTTTTCATTCTTTTCATTGTTGCTTCATGGACGCTCGGTGGCACGTACAGTGACAGGCATCATATCTGTGCTCATAGCAAGTAGCAATGAATGAGCTACGACCTCACTGGACATTTTGGCCTGGAAAGTTAAGCCTTTCCAAAAGAAGTCTCACAGATGAAATTGGCTGCAAGAATGTCTGTGCAAGTTAATATTTAGATTATTGCCACCCCAAAGAAATTTGGATTCTTCTAGCACTGAAAGGGTAAAAATGGGTATTGTCTAGGTAACCAGCAGTGGCCACCACAAATCACCTTACTAAATATAACATGAAGTTGCTATTTACATTTTTAGTGAAGATCATGTTTTGGGTCAAATTTAACTTTATTATACCCAGCTTCCCCCTTTTACTCTGCACAAAGCCAGTTAACATTTTTAATGTTACTCTTGTAGCAGCTTTATTTAAATGTAACTCACATACCATATAATTCATTCACACAATCATGGGACCACACCGCAGTCCATTTTAGCACATATTTTTCACCTCAAAGAGAAACCTTTTGTCTTTAACTTTTGTGCCTCTAACCCTCATTCTCACCTCTCCTGTCTCTTAAGTTTTTATTACATTTATATACTCTGCCCAGTACATGTGAATGGAAACATATATATATATATACACACACACATATATCTGTGCCTGGCTTCTTTCCCTTAAGGTTAATGTTTATAAGGTTGATCGATAGTGTAACATGTTTTTGTACAGTTTTTATTTTTTTTGCAAAATAATGTTCTGTTGCATATGTATGTTTAGTTTTATTTGTCCACTTACCAATTTGTGAGCATTTTGGGTCTTTTCACATTTTGGCTATCATGAATGATTCTTCTGTAAACACTCATGTTCAAGTTTCTGTCTAGAAATGTTTTCATCTTGTACCATAAATGCATGAAAAAGAAGCTTCATATGATACAAATCATGACTCCATTTTTTTTTTTTTTTTTAGAAACTAACTCTGTTTTCCAAAGTAATGACACCATTTTATATTTCCACCAATGCTATATAAACATTTCAGTTTCTTAAAATAATTTTTTTGGGGCAGGGTGTCCTGTAGCTCAAGCTGGCCTTGAACTTTTACGTAGCTGAAGGATGACTTAGAGCTCCTGACCCTACTGCGTGCACCTTCCTAATGCTGGCATTGTGGGGGTGTACCACCCCAACTGCCTCTCTTGCCTACTTTTAAATTAGATAGTCTGTAGCCACAGCTAGCCTGGAACTTACTATGTAGACCAGGCTGGCCTCAATCTCACATAGATCCACCTGGGATTAAAGGTATGCATCACCACACCTAACTTTGATTGTTTTATTAATCAATGAGTTGTTAGCATGTGTTTTTTTTTGGGGGGGGGGTTGGTGGTGGTAGTTGTTTTTAATCAGGGAGTCACTGTGTGACCTCTGGCCTCCAGCTTGTAATTCTCCTGCCTTCGCTACTTAGTGCTGGAATTAGAGGCATGTTCCACCAAGCTCAGCTTCTTAGAGTTCTTTGTATACTAGACACTTACCAAGTATGTGATTTGCAAATATTTTCCCCGCTCTCTAGGTTTCTTTCATGCTCTTACTACACAGACTTATTTTTATGAAGTCCAATGTTTTCCTTTTGTTGCTGTGTTGCTGTTATGTTTAGGGAGCATGCCCAGTCTGTTTTCTTTCCTAAGTTTTTCTCATTCTTTCTCTTACACTTAGATCTTAGATCCATTTGCAGTTAATTTTTATATATGGTGTTAGGCATATACAGGGTGTCCCACTTGATTCTTTTTTGTGGGGTACCCACTTATCCCAGCATCATTTGTTGAAGAGATTGTTGCTACCTCAGTGAGTGCTTTGGGAAGCCTTCCAAACGCCAGTCCATTCATGGTGTATTTCTGCACTCTGAATTCCATCTGTCACTACATCTCTCTCTGTTCTACATTGTCTTGATTTCTTTTACTTGGTAGCAAGTTTTGAAATTGAGAAAGTGTGGCCTCCAATTTTGTGTTCTTTTTCAAGATTATTCTTATTTTTCTGAACCCTTAAATTTTCACATGAATTTTAGGGTTAGTTGTGAGTTTCTACAAAGAAACTACCTGGGATGTTAATAGGGACCGCGGTGAATCTGATCAATTTGGAAGTGTTGCAAGCCTAATAACATCAGAATTTCTGATCTTGAGCATGGGCTATTTAGACCTTTCTTAATTTTTTAAAATAATATTTTGTACACCGGGCGTGGTGATACACGTCTGTAGTCCCAGCACTTGGGAGGCAGAGGCAAGCGGATGGATCTCTGTGAGTTCAAGGCCAGCCTGGTCTATATAGTGAGTTCCAGGACAGCTTGGGCTACAAGGAGACTCTGTCTCAAAAAGACCAAAAAAAAAAAAAAGAAGAATAATATAATTTGTGATGTTTAGAATATAGTTTTGTGTTTCATTGAATTTATTATTTTTGAAAATGGAATTCTCTAAATTCCATTTTTAGGGTTGTCCATTGTAAGTATATAAAAATTGAATTGGCTTTATTTATCTCCTATTCTGGGTCCCTTTGAAATGGATGGGAAATTCTCTAACCTTTTCCAGGACAATAAGATATTCCAGTTCCATCTTGTAATTTCCTTGTCCCAGCTCTTGATTTAGTTATTTAAGGATTTGGTTGCTTTCTGTAGAAAATAATACTTGGAAATTAGGGGCTAAGCATTAGGCATACTCGTTGAAATTAGAGTGTCAGTGTTCGTAGGTCCCCTCCATGGATTGAGTTAGGAAATACCTGTACACATATGCACACACTAATTTTAGATCTGTATTTCCTTTAACTCTCCATTTCCCTTCCCTACCTATGTAGATAGATGAGTATTCAGGAGTCACTCTGGCTTTCCTTTCTTTGTAAATGTGTGTTCTGGAACTGGAGAGATGACTCATCAGTTAGGAGCACTGGTTGCTCTTGAAAAGGACCTAGTTTCAATTCCCAGCAGCCACATGATGACTAACAACCATGACTCCAGTTCCAGGGAATACAACGTCCACTTCTGACCTCCACGGGCACTGCAGGGCATGGGTGCACTTACATGCATGCAGGCAATATGCTTATACACATAAAATAAAAATAAATCGGTGTGGTGGCACACGCCTTTAATCCTAGCACTTGGGAGGCAGAGGTAGGCAGATCTCTGTGGGTTCAAGGCCAGCCTGGACTACATAGATACCAGCTGGGGCTACAGGGAGACCCTGTCTCAATAAAGACCCCCCCAAAAGGTAAATAAATAAAACACTAAAAAAAAAAGTACTCCTTTTCTGACAGCGACAAATGTGGTGTCCAGTGTCACATTTGTTTTCTCTACCCACGGACACAACCACTCTTGTCTTCTTCAGCGCTGCACTGTTCAGCTGCGTTCCCACACAGGCCCCAGTGCCTCAGTGTTTACATCTAAACACCCAGGAAATGAGATGCATCTTAAAATCGATCATAAAATTTTATTGATAGCATTAAATCTTATATATATGTATATGCATGATAATACTTTTTACATTTGATGACGTAGGTGTGGAAATATTGAGATATCTATACCTAGTGTCTCAGAAAGTTTTAAAAATTGATGTAAGACATTCCATAACAAATTTTCTTTTGAGTAAGAACACTTTTAGAGTCATTCGTTGGAATTAGCCTATCTGTGTGCTGCGAAAGGAGTTAACTTGTGTCATCACATGCCAGAGCAGTACAAGTTCGTGTCTGCCTGACAGAATGAATAAGCAGTGAACTACTTACAACATAGAAAAAATTGAGGCAGGGTTTTGCTCTGTTGCCCAGGCTGGCCACAAATGTGATCTTCCTCAGCCTCCCGAGTGCAGGGAGCACAGGCACACACCACCGTGCTTACCACGACAGAGTATTCTTAAGAAAAATTCAGATAGGCTACTTCAGTCAAGTTTGGATGACAGTACGGCTAATGGCATTTTGTAGATAGCATAATTCCAACTTAATTATTAAGATTTATTACAGTGGCCAGATGGCTGGAGCACTTTTTTTGTTTATGTAACCTGTCTTTTAAACGTATGTCTTATGTTCCAAAACCTTGCTCTTAGTATTAAAAGATTTTTATTCATGAGCATCCTTTATACAAAGTAAGAATGACACATTCAATGTATTTATAGGATCTTCGAAATCAGCTCTACGAATCCTATTACTTAAATTTTATTTCTGCTATTTCAAGAAGCAAACTGGAAGACATTGCAAATGCAGCTCTGTCAGCTAGTGCTGTAACACAGGTCGCCAAGGTAAGATTGGGCTGACTGACAGCATTTGTTATCATAGAGTTTATTAGTGTTCTAAAAGCTCCTAACTGACACTGTGGTTTGGTGCCTTGTTTACAAATAACCAAGACAGCTTAAGAAATATGTAGACGGACTTCTTTAAAAATGAGTTCATTTACATTGTCTTTATCTTAAACTTGGAAAAATTAACCAAACTAGAAGAATCTATTCAGTTGAA